GCCGCTCACTCTGGCCTCCCTTTTTGCTGCGATATTTTTAATATTCTAAAATTAGGAACACCAATTTGGGGGTTTAGGTGAGTTACCCAGACAAAGAACTAAACTCTCTCTCTCTCTCTCTCTCTCTCTCTCTCTTTGTTCACAGTAAACAGATACATTGTTCATTATAAGTCACCAAATTCCCTTACTAGTTTTATTTAAGGTAATTTGATTAATGTGATGTCTCCCCTCAAACGCAAAATAAATAAATAAATAAATAAATTATCCAGTAATGCGGTTTGTGAGTAGTAGAATACATAGGAGATGAACGGTAACATTTGTTCTCCAATAAATTGACCAAGGCTAATTCTATGTCTGTAGGGTAAATAACAACGCCCATCTCCCCGTCACCGTACCCCATCCCCTCCCAACAAACCCCACTAGGTGTTTTAAAGGCCCACGAGATATTTTAAAGACTCCACAATATGTTTTAAAGACTCCAAAAGATGTTTTAAAGACCCCACAAGATATTTTAAAGACCCACAATATATTTTAAAGACCCCCACAAAATGTTTTAAAGACCCCACAAGATATTTTAAAGACCCACAATATGTTTTAAAGACCCCACAAGATGTTTTAAAGACCCACAATATATTTTAAAGACCCACAATATATTTTAAAGACCCCCACAAAATGTTTTAAAGACCCCACAAGATATTTTAAAGACTCACAATATGTTTTAAAAAGACCCACAAGATGTAACAGAGACTCGAAACCTCACAAAATGAAAAACAACAAACGCCACTGCCTAGGATAAGATTTTTTCTTTTCTTTTTTTACTTGGAAATAAGCTCCTGGGGTTGTTCTTCCTGGGGGGGGGGAGATAAATACTAGGTAATCAGAGGGCGAAGAATTTCCATACGAGAGAGAGAGACGTTATCAAAGGGATTATTTAAGCTACTCTGACGGCCATTGTCATCGTGTCTTTTGGATGTAGTTTTATTTATTTTTGTTTTTTCGTATCACTTTACACTCGTGATGGTCAGTTGGTTGTAAGTGGCTTTTGTGAAATGTTTTGTAAATTATATTATGTTGTATTTTGTGTTGTGCTGTGTTGTATTTAGAGTTGTGTTGTATTTAGGGTTGTCTTGTTGTACTGTGTTGTTTTAGGGTTGTGTTGTGTTGTGTTGTATATAGTGTTGTTATTATGCCAAGTTTTGCGTTGTATTGTGGCTTATTCCGTGTTGTATTGTGCTGTATTTTGTGTTCTATTTGTCGTATTTTGTATTGCGTGTTGCTGTACTTTGGATTGTATTGTTCTGTGTTTAATGTTGTATTTTTGGCGTTGTATTATGATATATTTTGTTTTTCTGTTGTTTTTCTTTTTTGTGCTATATATAGTGCATATTGCATTGTGTTGTACTGTAGTTGTTATGGTGTAGTGAAAAGTATTATAGTGTGTTATAGTGTGGTGGACTGGCTCTCTATGTACCTGAAGACTGTAAGTAAGACAGGTGGATCGTTGACTGTAACTGGTTGGGAGTGACTGCTGCCCCCACCCCCCTCCCCCTCCCCCCTCCCCACAGAGCTCTAGGAATAAAAGATGTACTCTTCACTGTCTGCTCTCCCCTGCCTTCTCTCCCATCACTCTCCCCCACCACTCCCCCCACCTCTCCGCACCTCACCACTCTCCCCGTACTTCTCCCCCCTACTCTCCCCCGCCTACTCCCCCCCACCTCCCCCACCTACTCTTCCCACCTACTCTCCCCACCTACTCTCCCCGCCTACTCTTCCCGCCTACTCCCCCCACCTACTCTAACAAGCAACGGGACTCTAATCTCAGCTGCAGTAGAGTATAATTAAATCTTTCTTGACTACGAGACTCATCACCAAGGAAGATTGAGGAGTCGAGAGGGCCGTTCTCCCCCCTGTGTTATTCTGGAGACTACTTAACTAATATACTCCACTTAATTGTCAGGGTTGTGATTGGTGCTCTTGTTACGGCGAGCAAAAGGTAATTATTGGTGAAATAGGGTGGGCGGGGCTTACCGAGGGTAGTGGAACTTAAAATAGGTTTAAGGTTATTCCAAGGGTATCTGAACCTAAGAATAAGGGCGAGTCTGACGGTGGAGTTGAACTTTATATAAGATTAAAACCTACTAGAGTGGTGGGTGTAGTCATGGGGACGGACGTGTAAGTTTTAATGATTCAAATGGATGTGTGTGTGCAACCGTGTGTGTGGGGGGGGGGGTATGTTTGTGTGTGTGTGTGCGTGTGTTAATACATTTTTCCGTGTATATGTGAATCATACGTAATCATAGAATGTGCTCAGTCGTGTAGGTTACGCTGCTCTGTCATGAACTCCAAGCGGAATTTTTCACCAAATCTCACAAAATCAATATACAACACTCCACAGTACACGTAAATGCGTATTATTCATACACATACACAAATTCCAATACTCTCATGCATACAGTTTTGGCCACTTGAACACTTGTATAACTCGCTACACACTCGCTCACATAACCCTACACAAGTACATAATGGTACAGTACGTATATACAGTACAGTACAAATACAGTACATCCATATAGGTACAAGCGTTGACCTGTTCTTCTATTAAAATAATATCGTCATATTAATTAACACTTAAACAATCAAAACCCATTAGATACGAAAATAAAAACAAAATCCACAGTAATAATATATAGTGTGTTTGGTAGGGGTGAGTCTACGTTTCTTCCGCAGTGGGGTCACGGGGTCGAGGTGGCCCGGTTACCCTTGCCGTGACTCACCCAACGTGTCGTGATGCCCAGGACGTCTTATCAGCTGGTGTCGTGTCCCAGAATGGTACTTTATGTTCCTTCACATGTGTGGAGGATTCTTCCGGGATTTTAAGTGACGTGGTAAAAGGTTAAATATGCTGGTTGGCCTTGGCGGATTATTAACAAGCAAAAAGTTGTAAACACCAGGGAAGTCTCGGGCGCGCTGATGTAAACATATAGTTCAAAATTAGTAGTGTTATGACCGTAGTGCTGAATTTAATGGTGCTACTATTACCACTACTACTACTATTAATAATAATAATAATGAAGGAACAATTATGTGCTGTACATGTCTACGGCGAACTGGGCATTCCTTTAATATTAAATTTCATTATATAACTCACAAATGCGGTCAGTCAAGAAATTTTTACTTTCAGTTGATTTCCTGTCTGCGGTCATGTCTAAATATATCGGGTAAAATCCAAGACAGAAGGATTATTTCTAAAACATTAACTTGATATTCGTGATTCATTGCCGTTCATCTAGACTCTCCAGCAGTGATGAAATGTAGTGTATCAGAGTACCATCCTTATATCTGAGGGTTGGCGACCACAGCTCTCCACGCTAAATGTTCTTGGGCTGTTTTTACCATCCCTCTAAGAGTCTAAGTTTTTGTATCTCTCTGGGGTCCCAGTTTTTAATTTCATTCATCCATTCCACTCTCTGCCTTCCCCTGGCCCCCCTACCCTCAAATTTGCCCATTAATATTCGTTATTATTTCCTCATCCCTCAAGTAACTTCCCAGAAGCTCCCTCCCTCAAGAATAAATTGCCAAACGAGATGCGTCACCAATGATTTATCCGTTTCAAATTCATTTTGCACAAAGTGGATAATTCCGTCGCTTGTATCATCCTAAATATGCAAAATTAGGAAATGTGGCTGAGCAGGAGGTAAATGACCAAGACAAACTGTCACTACAACAATGCAAACATCTTGTGAATGTTTGGCTTATAACACAGAATGACATTCAATAAATAACCAAATACTACGAAAAACAGGTCCACAAAAATACACAGAAAACGTATAGACTTATAGCTTACAGAGACGTTGTGGATCAACAAAGTGAAGTGTAAGAAAACAATGATTCTAACAGCAACATATCACGACCCTTTGAATTATGAGGGAGACGAGTAACCTGACACCTCGGGAACAAGGCTTGATACACTCCTCCGTGTGTTGGTGATGTTAAAGACCCACATCAGACCCGGCAACACACACTGATAGATGAGGGTGACAGGGAGCCCGACAATAAGGGAGAGGTGCGTAGTAATGTTGGAGCGAGAGTGAGTGTTACCTTCTCCTGGGATGTACACCCACACATACACTTCAAGATCAAAATGTAATGTAGATTTATGCAGAAGGTATAAGTAACAAAACCACGTGGATCAATGTAAGCTCTTCCCTTTCTTATAGTAGACGATAATGTATTACATATGATTTGATTTTATCAGTAACTGTACACGGAAGAACTTTGGACCATTCTTGAGAAAATGCTGAACTACTGGATAAAAGATCCTTCAGGAGTGTCCGCCGCCCTAAGACTAAAGATCCTACTATTAATTTTTCTCTTGCATCATTGAAACAGTTTAGTTAGTCGAAATAATCCAGATACAAAGCGAGTAACAACAACAATCAACATGACTGAACCCTTTAAGAACTGCATCTCTCCTAAAGTCTGTCAACACGTAACAAACAGTATCATAGTAACACATTCCAAAGGGTAAAATTGTCTCGGTATACGGTCTACTGAATATTCCGATTTATAACGAATAATAATGTTTCTACTTGAGGAATTGTCTTTTTCAGCATGATTTTTAGTAATTGTCTCGTGAGACTGAAATGTAGGTGTGATGTTTCAGTGCTGTGTTATTCCCGTGCGTGCATACATACCACCGCCTTTCCTACTGTGATCTGTCAGGCTAATCTACAGTCACAGATCGTTCATTTTACTCATTCTTCTGTTAAATGATTACCACAACCTACCAAACAGACATATAGCCAATAGTTCTTCAGTCGTTGTTGTCGTTCCGCTGTAGAACCTCCATCACGACCCTATCAGACAGACGTATAACTCCAGGTCGTCCTAGCATAACCCTTCATCTTATTTAACTACTTATAACAGGTAAACTTACAGCCACAGACCGTCCAATCATGAGTCGTATAATGCTCCTTTACCACGACCCCCATCACACTTACCTGTGCTTCCCCTACTGGAGTGAATGTTGGGTTACTTGCGAATCAATGAGTCCCCGACATGCATTTTTCAGGCCACAAGTATCACAGATAACTCACACACACATACACACACACACATCACACACCGTCATGTCTTGAGTGATTTATCGATTAAAACAGCACACGTCGTTAAAGCAGTGTCCTGGAATGTACTCTCGGTGTTGTGTGTGTTTTTTTTGTTTTTTATGCGTGTAGATCCATAGTGAGGGTGAGACAGGTAGGTAGTACAAGTGTTATGTTGGACGCAACATGTTCACCCTTCTACCGCCTGGAATAAACTGACTCCAGAACTCACCGCTCCCTTTCTTTCGTACCCCCCTTCCTCCTCCTCCTCCTCCCTCACGCACTCCTTCTCTACCCCACGCATTCTCCTACTAGTCTCCCCTCTCCCCACCGTATACTCCCCTCTCCCCACCGTATACTCCCCTCTCCCCAACGTATACTCCCCTCTCCCCTACACCCTTCCCTCCCTCTTCTCCGTTCTCCCCTCTTTCCCACACACCCTCCAGTCTCCCCTCCCTCAATAACACAGGTGCCAGTACTTCCACTTCTTCCTGGTGTTTACATTTAACCCCTTAAGAAAACTTGTCCTCTGAGGTCAGGTGTAATGTTTACATGGCGTCACCTGTTGTGTACTAGTAGAATTTTGTGTCAATTTGTCGAACTCTCATTGCAGTAGTAATAGTAGTACGAGTAGGAGTAGTCTAGTAGTAGTGGACTAGTAGTATAAGTAGAAATAGTATTAGTAATAGTCTAGAAGTATTAGTAGTATTAATGATAGCCACTATTAGTCATGTCAAGGGTAATCATTAGAGCAGGTCTCCACCCAACGCACTGTTTCACCTTCACATGTAATATAGTCCTTGACATGTTTTCTTCGTCAATACATCAATTCTACTTTGGTCGACACAGATCTATCCATCGGTATATTTTTCTGAGACATTGCCCACATACGGACACGTAGACACCGACACACAACGACACATATAAACAGACATAGAAACACACGACGGGAACACACACACACACACACACACACACACACAGATATAGACTCATTGACAGTAACACAGAAACAGACATATACTGTAAATGTCGCCCCTTGTGTTTAAGGTGTAGAGCCTGTCACTTCCTCAGCCACACGCTAGGTTAACGAGCCGTTTGAACTAGTACCAATGAGGAACTGACAACCCACCAACCATTACCCCGAACTCTATCTACCAATCGACAAAAATTCAGGTTCCCAATTATTGCTGCGTAGACAGAGACAAATGGCTTAAAATCGTTCATAGCATTGGACCACTAGCTTGCAAGGCGAGTACACCACAGTTCAGAGACTTTGCACTATATCTGTGACCCTCAGTCACTGTAAAACTGAGGTCATCTCTTAACAAAAGGAAAATATTTGTTATGAATGATTACAAGAACGAAAGGGGATAATGGCCAGGATAATATTAATTTTAAACATATAGAATTCGATTATTTGTCTTCGAGGATAAGTTAGGAAAAGGTGAAGTTAGGACCAGTGAGAGAGAGAGAGAGAGAGAGGTGGTGATGAGGACCAGTAAGGTGTGTCAAGGTGGTGATGAGGACCAGTAAGGTGTGTCAAGGTGGTGTTGATTGTTGTTGTTTATTGTGTGTGTTAGTCATCATCTGAGCGGAGGGCATTAAAGGAATTCGGTGAAAGCTGGAAGGTCATGGCAAATTTTATACTCAGTGGTTTGTAACAGAGTGGAAGTAGTTGCTGCTCCACATAGTAGACTAGTGGAGACACGCTAAAGAAGGTCATGTATGAGAGGCCCCAGTACTTAAACCTCTTCTCATTCACTTCCTCTGTTCCTAGTGTTATTTGTTGTTGTTACAGGTGTTTCAGTTGCCAGGTCACTAAGCAATTGTTCACTGGGTATTAAATCTCCACAACACACAACTTTTGGAAAAAATCGATCTTCGTTTGTTATTCTTCATTGCATTCAGGGTCTTCCAAGGGTCACGGTCTGTAACATCATAATAATAAAAAATTTAAAATTTATAGATATACTGTAGGTAGTTGTAGTTCAGACGGTATTTATGAAAACAAAGATGACCGACCTGACCCTGGCTTTACCCCTTAATGTATTCCGGTAAACAAACGAAGAATTACTTATGGAATAAACATATTGACATGGAGGCCTTCTGCAGAGGGAGAGTTTTCCACGTCGTAATATCAAGGAGAACAATTTTCACTTCCTTCTTTCTTGTTTCAATATCTAAAGTACAGAAACATTTTTATGTCCCCATTACTATTTGCCAAAGGTCAGGGGCCAAAACCAAAAAATAATAGATGGGAGAGTAAGTGAAATAAGGAGAGTGGAGTGCGTAGAGTTTTATACTTTTACAAAATTGTATACAACACCCGTACGTTCTTTGTGTGTGTGTATATATATATATATATATATATATATATATATATATATATATATATATATATATCTTAGCTTCCAATATGGGACAATAACTTTAAAATCAGTAGAAATATTACTTTTTTTCCTATGTTAAGGTACTTTGGCGGCTATGATATTTCGGCATCTTTTTTATTCTTCATTAAACAGTTCTGCATTAGACTGTAACTAGATCCGGGGACTTATTATGGCCGATGCGATCTAGAGTCTGGGGCTTGACTGATGAGGCTTGTGTTGCTTCATATCTTGGCTAGTACACTACTCGTCTACTGTGTGTGGAGGGCTTTACTTACGCTCTGGAGGCCGTTAACCGCTCCCTGGTGTTAACTAACGAAAACTAATGATTCAATGACTCTAAACAATTGAGTTAAAAACAATTAAAGGTGTAGAAAATTTCATGAAATATATTAACAAAGGAGGTGTAAACATTGAATAAGTAATGAATGAATGAATTATATGTTAGACGAATTAAATTTTACACACAATTTTGATATATTATAAAACATACCAAAATTATCCTCCTTTCCTCTATTCCTCTATCCATCCATCCACTCATCCCTCCTCCTTCCCTCCTCTCTCTCTCTCTCTCTCTCTCTCTCTCTCTCTCTCTCTCTCTCCCCCTCCACCCCCTATTCCTCCCTCCATTCATCCATCCCCTCCCATCCCTCCTAAATCCCCCTCCCTCCCTCCCTCCCTCCCTCCCTCTATCCCTCCATCCCTCCCCTCCACCGGGTCAAATCCTCCATTACTACTTCCTCCAGCCCTTCCTCCCCTATCTTACTCTAGCTTTGCTCCTGTTTCACTCCATCTTACTTCATATTCTCTTCTTACTTTGTTTTTCTTTGTCCGTCTTTTATTTTACCTTTTTTTGTTTACTCGTCAATTGTTATATTCTCCTTACTTTTCCTTTTAATCCTTCTACTCCAATATTTAATCCTTCTTATTTTGTATCTTTCTTTTCCTGTTCTTACTCCGTCTCTTTACTTTTCTTTATCATTTTATTTATTTTTTCTCCTCCGCCTTAACGGTTTACTTTTACTACTCTGGCTTTTGGCGTTTCAGCTTCCATGTTTTTCTCTTTTTTACTCCCTGATTTTATATTCCTTGCTGTCTTTACATCTTTTTTATTTTCCTTTTAGTTACTTTCCATTTGTCCCCTGTTCCTTATTTCCATTTTTCCTTAATTTTTTATTCTACTTGGCTAAAAAATTATATTAATTACACAGCTAAATACTTCATTCGACTTTCTTTCTCATGATTTTTTTCCTTTTTCCATCTTGTTGAGCTTTCTGTTTTTTTTACTGGAGAAATTCAGAAACAGCAAGACAGGTTCAGTAAGCCGCTAATACAGGTACACCTATGTTAACAAGACAGTGATACAAAACACTACTCACGATCAATGAATATTATTATTAAATGGTATTGTATTAATATAAATGTTTTAAACGTACCTTAGTTGAACCCGAGAAGTGGATGATATAAACTAAACGACCTTCCACAACCTCCCTGACGGCAGTGTACTGGGGCGACCCTCACCATCCTCCCTCAGCCGTGTTAAGACGTATCAACACGCAGGACCTCCGTGCAAATAATACCCTGATATAACTGTGTATGTAAAGACCGTCAAGGATTATACCCGTTAGAACAAAGAGTTTTTGATACTGTACAGTGGAGCAAAATGACAGCAATTATTATTCATGTGTAATCGATGACACCAACGTGCACACAGCAGTAGATGTGCACTCGCGCCCGTACATGCAGGTGAGGTGCACATGGGGTTGTGTACGTGGCGTTGAGTCACGCGGCGTCAGTTTCACCACGCCATGAGCGCCACTCATGCAATCACTTGCACGGGACACTGACTTCAGCTTCATTAATACCTGTGTCGCACTGCCTTATAATTCATTAGAAGTAGATAGATGAACAATCTTGGTTTTAGATTAATTGGATAATACTGACTAAATAGTTAAACAGTTATCGTACTTATCCGATAACTGTCATGCTTTTTTTTTAACAATTATGTTTAAAAACTTGTTGAAATTATTTATAAAGAAAATATATGATATTTGATAGAATTAACTCCTTCTGGGAAGCGTGTAGTGTATAAATTTATCTAATTGCATAAACAGCCACAAGTAACCAAGCACTGAATATAATGTAGCCAAAGTCGAAGCTCTTGTACTACGATTCGGAGACACCAAGATCCCAGCTGATCAATGTTTTTGTTTTTGCTCCTTCGTGATCGTGAGGACACGACCGTACTCTGACCTGAATCTACCGCGACACACGAAAGACGAACGGGTCTACAGATAGATGGGTTGAAGGATGAATGGCTTTACAGATGGATGTGTTGATAAATGAATAGATAAAAAGATGGAAAGGTATTATGGGTAAGCAGTTTGAAGCATGTTATGGTTGACACAGTAGTGATGGGCGAGTGAGCGATTTGGTTGGTGAACGAGTAGACGGGTTAACTAGTTGAGCGTGATGGGATATGACAAGAAAATAGCGAGACTGTCTACAGACTTCTAAACTGTGTCAATGAAACAAAACAACAGGTAATTAGTGAGGATCAAGGTCAACCAATTAACGAGATGTGGGAACACCTCTATTGGGTTCCATAAGCTTGGACATGAAGATGGATTCAGAAAGGTTCTTAAGTTAATATTTTGGCCCCGAGAACGGATTTGCGAAGTTCAATTAAGCTACGGCATGAAGTTGGACTCTCCGTGATTCGTACGCTATTTCCCTCAACTGGGGATAAGCGGACACACCACCTCAATAACATTTATATAGTAACAAATCCAAGCATTTTTTGTAGTATCGTGTGGCGTAACTTAGCGACCCAATTAGTTACGTTACTGATCTATACTTTGAGGGAGGATTTAACATGCAACTTATGATGATCTTTCTGTGCTGTTACGTAAGCAGGAAAATTCAGTATATGAATATTTTTGTTTACCTTTGTTTAATTTGGTTACTATATATTGATACGTTCTTACTTCACCAGTCAGCGTCAGAACTTTTAACTTAAGAACTATCCAGAATCCATCTTTATATCACAGTTTAAGTGAGCAATTTACAAGCATTGCCACATCCTTCTGAATATTAAAGTCATATTTACTTTCCTGAGTACAGAGGGAAGTAACTGCGTGTCCCCTCCCTCCCCCCCTTCCTGACGAAATCCCCGGTTACCCTGCGAATGATTGGCGTCGTGGTGGTGGTAATCCTTGGCTGCTCTACTACCAGGACAGAAAGGTCGGAGTTCCTATACCCTATGTGGCTTCGAGTGTGATACCATGAAGATCATTTCTCTGTTAGCTTTGGCAATAAATGGATTGTTATTATATGTGTTATTAACTATAGCTTGATTGCTGTTATTTTGGTCTTAAAGAGAACTGACTTACTGTCATTTTACTTTTAAAACTGGTTGAACAAGAATAGTTGACCTTAACGATGGGTGTCGTTGTTGTTTTATCTTGTTCCATAATTACCAGAGTAATTATCAAACACCATTAAAGAATCTTAGTTTCAACAACAGATATCTTTTAAACATTAAGAGTAATAAATTGTCGCTCACCAGTAGTATTTGTTTTAGGTTTATGATTATTAAGAACCAAACACAAGTCTTGGTAACCTACAGCACACAACTGTTATTATTTTTTATGGCTATTATTCTGTAGTGAGGTGCTTCAACTGCAACTATTAACCACCAAATAAAAGTCTTAGTTTTTTATACAACAAACAGCTTTTAAAAAATTAAGAGTGACTAAATTTGCTGCGCCTTTTGGGTTTAAAGCAGTCTGTGGTCTTTATCATTATGGAGGAGGTAGCAGTTAGTCTTTTATGTCTTTTCCACGCTTTAGTGGTTAATCAGTGTGTTAATGTCTGTCCTATAACGCTGGTCTGCCGCTGCCACCATTTGTTTATTTTCTTGAGAGTATATAATAATTCAAGCGACTTGTTATATTTTCTGAGTTTATATATCGACCAAAAATATTCCATAAAATTTTAGCCTAAAATATTTTGTTTATTCTACACTTGTCAAATTTTTTCAATTAACTGATCTGTTCTCCTTAGAGGCCATAATTTACATGCATTTATTTTTTTTCTCTACTGCAATTTGCTGTTTCAACGATCAGGCTCTTTAAGTACCGTTCACAAAGTCTTAGTTTTTACACAAAACAACCGACAACTCTTCAAAGATTTTTTAATTAAGAATGACATTTTAATAAATTTTACTATACAATCACTAATTTTCAGAAGATTCAGTTGCATAATGGTACAGCAAGACTATTATTCCGAAAGCTCACGACATACTGTTACTAATATTTCTGAATTAATAAAATAAAACTAAATAATTAAACAACTTCAGGTTACCTTGCTCGTGTCGACCTTCAGTTCCAGTAGTGTGTCGTGTGTGCCGTGACCACCACAGCAGGGCGGGTGTGGGTCACCTCAGAACCACACTCTCAAAGAATCATACGTTAATATCACTCTTGGTAACTACTGTAGAAGACCTACTCACTCATAAGTCTCGGTGAGGTTTTGACGCTATAATAATTAACATTTCTGTGTCATAATTTAAGAAAGCCGGTAAAACACGCTACCGGAAAAAAAAATAATTAACGTACGAACTTGAGATAATATTGACTGGCCGGGTGACGATGGTGTGTATCAGCTGCCAGTGTTCGTGCTCCTGAGACACATTACTCCTGGGCTGGCGTGCGAACCTCAATGCCCACGTAGTATAAGCCTACAGTTACGTCATCATGGTAAACATTCATTTACATTGATTGTTAAAATTTGCACATGATTTTAGTTTAGAGATCTATTGAAAAAACTGTCGAGTTTATCAGTATCATTTTCTCTATTAAACAGCTTGGAGCTCAAACCGCATCTTACGTCATAACTTTAATATAAAACAATACTTCCTGGTGTGTGGAGAAACTCGGCTCCTTGACGAAAGTTCATGGCTACGGTGTAACATGTCATCCTTATAGTCAATAAATCCCCTTTTAACTATTATCTTCTTTTGGTGTTTTTATTGTTTTCTAGAGCATGAACTGTCGACTCAGTTTACTTGCATAAAAAAAAACATTGCTTATGAAGCACAGAAATACAAATATAAAGCAATATTAACACGTAAAGGTAAATCACAGATATCTCATCACTTAGCACAGAATGGATAGCTTCTGACAACTTGTAACGAAATAGTACCTAGGCCTGCCCGGATGCAGTGCCAACCATGTTACCTCTTTGTGTACTGAATAAAGCTTAAGTCTATAGTGTGCTGTATCTGCACTGCCTCTACGGGACCCAATATCCGACGTTTTTGAATTAACGTATCATCAAGTAAATACCAGATCCACAGAAACTGTACAAAGTCAACAAGTGAAAACGACACAAACTAATAACCTGTTTGTCTGCACTAGGTCATGGTGAACACCCGAGCTGCAGAGGACATCCAACTTAAATGCAACCAAGTTATAAATAGCTTTCACAACAAAGGTTCATAGATTACAATTTTTCTCCCGGCGGTGGAAGTTCAAGGTTAGGTCAGCCAGGAGTCGCGTGCCAATGACGACCTACCGCGGGCTACACTATTATCTTATTGATTCTCGTCCTGCATAGATGTTCACAGAGGCAGGGACTTAACATCTTACTCTCTTGAAATGTGTTAGCTGATGCCATTATTCCCTACTCAACTATCAGTGCATTAGGAAACGTTAGACCGTAGTGTTTTCAATATATTTCTATTACCACAAAACATAGGTTAATATCAGCATTTATATACCGTATCAATGTACCACGTAAACTTGACAACAAATCCACTAAAAAAATGCATCCATAACTTGATTTAATAACCACTGGCAGTTGTGGGTTGACATTAAGGTCTCTGTATCTATGATGAGGGTTTGTTAGTCTTCGTTAATCTTGTTCTCTGATTAGTTTAATTTCGCTCAACATCTATGTCATCGTTCGGCTCTAAAACGTCTATGATCTTGATGGCGATTTTTTTCTTTACTGGTTTCTCGATATTGATAATTTTTTCTCGTTAATTTTTATACTGAATATCACTGTATTCCACTTTAAGGGGGGAGATGTTTTGCCGTTTCATTTTTCGTCTTGTAAACAAGTAACAGTCAATTGTCATTCCTTTAGATCTAAGGTAATTGTATTTTATTTTCCATTTAGGTTTTTTTTTTTAAAGGTTGGATACCCAATTTTGAGCAGCTGTTAATTTAACATTAAGATGAAACTTAGTGCAAATGTAACTTACTATGAACCCCACACATTGTTACCAATTATAAGGGTCAAAGGTCATGCAGGATTATATGGGGGAGACATACTGCATTCTCTATCATTTGTTAACAACTGTTCAAACAGAAAATATAACTGAATGTTATATAATTATGTCTCGGCACAAGGTTTCTCCTCCTACAGAGTTAACGTCAGAATCCTCCCTATTTATCATCGCTGCCAGCTCTTGGATTTTCTGTCAAAGCCTTTATAGTGTTTACCTTTACATTTAAACCAGTTTTAATGATACCACAAGAGTGTCTAAGCACACCCTGCCACTGTATTATTTTGTAAACACTCCACGGCTGAGAAAATGACGTCAACACATAAGTCCCTACATAAACATGGTGTATTCAGTAGGATAATAACAGCTAATAAAATAGTTAAATTAATATTAATAATTTATATTGAGATATACGTAACATGTGAGCTATCTTCGGAATATAAACATCGAGGTTAGCCACAGCATTGAAATAATATTTGATGCAAATACAATTCTCCATTCAGGTGAAAAGAAAAATTATACATCAATAATACAAATTTATTATAGATATTAAAGCATTTATATAGATGTTCACAGTCAGTCCAGGAAGTTCTCAACTTGTGTGAGAATGATGAACGTGAGTAACGTAACCTTGCTCTATAACTCCGCTGAAGCGACACCGTGCTGTTACCTATAATCGATGCCTTCTTGTCTATAATCGATCCCTTGTTGAAAATCGATTGTTCTTTGTTTGTAGTCGATGCGTTGTTGTTTATAATCGATTCTTTTTTGTTAATGATTGACGCCTTCTTAGATACAATTGATGTTTTATGGCATTTTATAGAGTTCTTTTTTGTAACTGATGTCTTCTTAATAATCGATGCCTTCTTGTTTACAGAAGATGATTTCTTGTCTATAAACGATAAAGTCGTTTGGTTTCCTTCAAGCACGTCAAAAGTAGCTGAGTGATGGCGTTCACTTCCATAGTTCAGAGTAAGAAATGAGAAAAAACACTTTGGCGAGACACGAAGAGTAACAATTGACGCGAGGTTCCACAGAAGACGATTAGACGAGACACAGACACCTTCCCCTCCTCCTCCTGCTACTCCTGCTGGTAGTGAGCCAGTCCTCTTACGCAGCGACTGCGAGGGGGAAATGGTAACTCGGTGTTAGATTAATAGTCCAGTAGTGTTGTGTTCTTGTGGTGTTGCTGTTGAGAATCTTAAGTTGTTGGTGTTGATTTCGAAGTTGTGTTTTAAAATTTAAATTAATGTTGTGTTTATTACTGAGAATCAAAGAGGATATTTTGAGTCTCGGTTGTTTTTGTTGGTGTTGTTGAGAGTCCAGGAAGTTTTTTGGATGTCCTGAAGCCAAATATAATAAGTTCTTATGGTGCAAGATGAAGTGTTTTTATACGTGCCTGCGTGTGGTTGAAGAAGGGTAGTTTAATGCAGGAATTATGTTCTCTCGAGTAAAATGAAGAACCTTTACTGTTAGATAAAGTTGCGCGATATAAAGGCTACAGTCTTTTGAATTATGTGAAGTGATACGGAACAAAGGGAATATACTATTGTGTAACGTACTGTGGTTGGAGGGAGGCAGGACATCTCCTTCCTTTAGTTGAATTCAGGTTCTCGTGTTTGTTTAGGCAAGAGTTATAGTTTATTTGGAATTGTTTACGTCGATGTACTTGTTGTGTCGATGTTGTAATATGTATAGAGAGCCAGAAGTATGAATCCCTATTCATTATGAAAGAAAATAGATTTAATTTGTGAAAATCATTGTAACATTACAACGAGATCTGCAGAACATTAATGACATTTAACAAGAACATTACCATGAGATTAATAATACATTACTGTTATGTAGGTTACGTTAGATTCATAAAATCAATATAAAAGAAATATTTGGCGGTTAGAAAATTATTTGCTTTTAAGATTTGAACCAGAAGGTAAGGATTTTAGAACACTGAGAATTATTGAAACAAGAGTGTAAGTGTGCGAGAGGCAGATGTGTGATGAGCGTGGAGACCACCAGCGAGGCCAAGGGCGGCATCACAGCGGCGTGTGGAGAGTCACTTTACCTTCCTCAGCAGGCGGGGCTTCACCTTCAGCTGGTGGGGGAGCCTCGCCCTCGGCCGGAGTGGCCTCTGAGGGGACCTCCTCCGCAGGGGGCTCGGCAGGTGTTTCAGCTGGGGCCTCCGCCGGGGCTTCCTCGGCGGTAGGGGGGGCGTCACCCCCCTCCGCCGGGGCAGCCTCGGCAGCGGCCTCTGCCGGAGCCTCCTCGGATGGGGTCCCCTCAGCTGGCGCTGCCTCCGCCGGGGGGGCATCTTCTGTTGGGGCACCCTCCGTCGGTGCACTCTCACCTCCTGTTAGTGTCAAGTTAGTGATGGGAAAAAGAATGGCCGCATTATTTACAAGATTAGCTCGTCAAGAGAAAATCAATATTATAGCTACAACGAAACACTGACAAAGCACATGGACGGACAGAAACTCTACAAAACAATAAACCAAGACAAAACATTATAAAAAAGTATAGTGATAATTCTGTTAGCCTGCAAGAGAAGCCGATTAGCTCCACGGGGGAGTGTGGGATGACAACCACGGGGGAGCGGAAGGGGTGAAGGACCTCCTCAGTGGCTGTGTCTTAAAGTAAGGTGACGCAACTGGGAACGTCGCCTTAGTGATCCCCTTCCTCCTGATCCCATCCAGCCCCCCCCCCCCCTTTACGTGACCAGGCGACGTCCCCGAGCTGGGGTGAACGTGTGAGGTCAAGGATCAGTACTCAATAAGACACCGACTCACCTTCCTCTGCAGCGGGGCCGTCACCCTCCGTCTGTTGGTAAAAAATTATTCATTAGCAGAATCAACATTGTTCTTATACTGGGGACAGGGAGAGCCCTTATCATCTGAAGGCAGCAGGATAGTATGATAGTAACTGTTGAAGGCCTCGAGGCTCACTTCAACAGTTACCATTATGACGCCTGACGCCCCAAATGCTGATGCAGGTCTTACCTTTGTTTACATTTAGCTTAACTTCCTCCTGATTGGTCGACACGCACTATTGCCTTGAGTTGCATCGTCAATTACGGAGGAGGAATTGCCCAGTTAAATAAAGTGCCTCTTACTGCAAAATCCACTTAAAACATGATATCGAATATATCAAGCAGAAAATGTAGCAAAATAGGTTCCCCTGTCCGTCCGTAAAGATAGACATCAAACTTCTATGTTAGGAATTTGTAAAGGTTACTTGATGCTACAGTTACTCTGCTATACACCAAAACATTATGCCGAAAACAAAACCAAAGAGAAAAACAAAATACTTATCCAAGATATTGTTCAAGGAGAAATTTGGATGGCAAAAAATTGTGAAATCTCGAAAAATAATAACTTTTAAGTCGAATTCAGAGGAGCGTCGTGGAGTCTGCCTCTGGGGAGACTGAAAATTCTTTTAGTCTTGGCAAAATTTATTTTCTGTATAATAAGGGTGGAACTATATAGCTCAACTCTCATAGTTATAGTTGGGAGGGAGCCGAGGAGTTATAATTGCAAATTTAGGTCTTTGAAGTAGAGGTTCCGTAATACGAGAACCGAACAAAAATATAATAGTTTGAGGGGCTAATGAATTTGTGGAAAAATCAACTAAAAATGATTTATAAATCAGAATTGGGAACCTCGCATTGACAATAATCATAGCCGGAAAGATGGTGGAAATGCACTACAAATGCATTACTTGACTGACAGTCCTTTATATTGTCATAAATGCAAATTGAAAACTTATCTAAAATTCGTAACTAAAAGGGCACTTCAAATGGTGAGATGAACTTCAAAAGTGAAACTAAAAACACATGCAGACTCAGAAAAAAACACATTATTTTCTGTACGTTCTTAGTCCTTGACACTTCAACTTGTAATATTTCTTTAAAAATATTTACAAGAGGGAAAATAATCAAATCAATATCAAGCAAGCTAAATGCAGAGAAATATTGCCTATACATTTCTCTCAATCGGTATCAATGCATTGGTCAAGTAAATAAATCTACTCTCCTTAAAAGTCTACTAATTCGGCTGTTGCCTTCTTCATACTTCTACAGGTATAAGGGCTGATCTGTGCTAGCAAAATAGGAATAATAAACCATTCTCCTTAATTGGAAAAATAAAATAAAAGAGAAAAAAATTCAAACTGAGTACCGGCAACCCACCCTCCCAGGACGCGAGCTGCGGGCGGGTTAACTCGGCATCATATTCAACATGGACAGGCCGAGTTCATAAACGTTAAAGAAATCAGCACTCGGTTCAATAAACTGCCCTCTGATCAGCCATCACATATTTTCTGATCTTTTTAAATACACTTTTTTTTATTACAAGAATTTCAATATTTTTCGATGTTATTACTTTCAATTCTTTTTATTTTATTTTAATTAGTGTTTGTTTGATTTTGGCTGATGAGAGAAGCAGCTGATGGAAGGAGTGTGTCTCTCTCAAGTCTTTATGAACCTCAACCAGATAAGCACTTACCGGAGCTTCGCCCTCTTCCCCTTCCTGGAAGAGGGAGAGAGGGAAAAAAAACATGTGTTATTTGCAACATCTGTACACAAACACATGTCCAAATTCTGGAACAGCACTTAATAGGTTAGTAAGAAGCTCAATTTTATTTTTTGAGTTGGACATATCCTGCGATAGAACGAGGCTATCCCAGATCACCGCGCTCGCTCTCACAAAATTGGAGGTCCGTACTTTTTTTACGATATTACTAGTGCTTTTCCAGAATGCGGACGCTCTAGTTAACTTACAACACCTGATGTATTTCCAGCCACTCCACTTTGCCCTGCCCCAGTACGATATTTGGACCTCCACTGCTGTCTACGTGTGTGCTTTGTAAACTACTTTTTTAACAATTGTTTTTAAATCTCCCAAAATTCGGGTGTACAGTAAATATTCGTAGTAAAAAATTTGTCTTTCTATCAACAAGAACTAGTTTATATATTTACCTATTCGGATGTGATGTATTAAAATTCTTTGGAAAGTACTGAGATTATGCAGTGTGCGTATATCTTTTTTTATTATTATTACGTGTGAAGTTTTTTTATATAAATGTAAATTAAAACAGGAGCATAACTCCAGCAGCGTAAGACTGCTGTCAAAGCTAATATCTTAGGCAAACTTATATAGCAAATTTGATTTAATAAGCAAGTCCCACTGATTGAAAAGAAATATAATTTAATCAATAGAAGAGAGCGATGCAGATCTACCGAAGCCAAAAAATATGGAAAATAAAATTATTGTACTGTAGCTAAATTGAGCCTCGTTACTGCAAAAAACATAAAACTGGTTTCGGGTCGCACTAGTGGATGCAGGAACCGAAAATATTAAGTTATTAGTGCGGCATTAGCCTAGTCAACAAGAAGAAATAACCAAACTGATCATCAAGTAATAATGGCAAACTGTCGACATTCCTGAGTGAAAATTAACGACACATTTTGTCACAACTAAATCATTTGTGTTTTGAAAGCATAGGCCTAAGCAGCTGTTATTTAACTAAGTTTATTGAATAAGTTGTTTATTTAAGATAAAAAAAAATTATTTATAATATTATATTATTTAACGTAGTAGTGATGCATTCTTTACCACCTCAGGAAGTATCGACATGACAAAACGTAAATAAAAGATTAAAAAACTCAAAGACGAAACTTGTAAAAGAAAACTGCTTTAACTTCATTAGCGCACCAAGTAAAAGTCAGATATCCCAAACGGCAGTACAGTAGTAGGGTAGTATAGTAAGAAGATATTTTGGTTCAAACAAGTTAAAAATTAGCATAACAGTTACCAATTAAACTGCTTTTAAACCGTGAGGAAAAAAGTGCAGTGTGGGTTGGTGACACGGATTTTTAAGAGATATTGCTTACCAGGGTCTCAGGCAGGGGTGGAGGTGAAGGAGGGACCAAAAAAAAACATTCACATTTTTTTCTCAACTTGATATTTACATATAGAAGGATCAAAACAGGACAGTTTGATAATCTTGAGGAAAATCCAACTAGAAATTGTGTAAATCACATTGTGAAAATTCCAATGGAAAATTTGGCTGTCATGTGGAAATTTTGAAGGGAAAATATATGGTCATGCAGTTTTCATAGAATTGTCTTGGATATACAAAAGATAGGTTCCTTTTTTCTGCAAAATGCTGGATGACAATAACAAGGAAGAAAAATGCAATAAAAGTATAAAAAATAGATAATCGCGCGACAAAAATTGCAAGGGGTGTTCCAAATTGGACTAGTAAAAAATAATCCGAAATTAACCAACCCCGAGCCCTCGACCCTGACGTGTGTCGCACGGAGTGACAATACAGTGACAAGAACAATAACACAGGATATATGACACAATCAGCAAAAATGACCCTAAGGTAGCAGCTAAGTAAGGGTCATTAACTCCTAATTTGCCGACACTTGATAATGAACCTCTCTGCTGAACTATCTCAGGCACAAATTTAACTGAGTTTGTCATATATTACAACAGAGGGTATAAGTGTCGTGACTGGAGACTACTTAATATAGCCTAATTCTATTTTATTATTATTATTATATTATTATTATTATATTATTATTATTATCATATAACTGAAATATTTGTGTATCTCCACAAATAATGATATAGCCTATCAAACAAAACTTGAAGATATTTTTCAATGGTATTCAGTCTTCTATTACTCTTCTTAATACATGATTTAAGCTTTATGTTCTGATAATTAATGCTTATCCTATCCTTACATAGCCTGTATATCAAAATGACATATTAAAGGGCCTTTTTTCCAACTCGTTAGATGAGCTTACGAGTGGGAAAAGCTTGCCCTTTAATGTTTACTGGAAGAATAATTCTGTTACTAGTTATGATAAACATTTTGTTCATGCGCAAACAAAATATAAAGAGAATTGTTTTAATCTAACATATATGCAGGTTTAGGTACTGAAGCGGGGTATGCAGTAAGACTTGCTTGAACAGATATTTATGCTAAAAAGCCTAATTCCTACGAACGTGATTAATTCACATGCCTGGTCTCCTTAAATTACCTAGAAAGCTATAAGCTTTCAGGTATTGCATGCAGTTATGCTACTCTATCCTAGAAGTATTTATATGTACACACTAGACTAGAGCTGCTAACTATTCCGACGACTATGTTCGCTGGTAGATAGATCTACTGTATGTTCCAGAAGCTTGTTGTTGGGCGGACAACACAACACAACACAACACAAATAAGCTGTTACTTTTTCGATGTTTTATCACAACACAATATATTGGTAATACAAATCACAGTTAAACATATGTGTGCGTGTGTTTGTATTCCAACAAGTAGAGGAATTAGTAAAAGCGCCAGAAATTGTGAGAATTAGGAAAGGTTTTCGAATTGTCGCGGAGTCGGTGGTGGCCCGATGTAGGCAGACAGAAGGCCTCGATCATCTCATACGCCGGAAGGCTTGACTGATGATGCTGCTGTAGATGAGGGTACATGTAGCGACACAGGGTCATCTACATACCTGGAGCACATCTACGATCTACACGAGCCACCGATGACTGGTTAAAAGGCCAATTAGTAGCCGCTAAAGTTGGCAGAGTATGCTTGTACAAGGAATTCCCCCATCAGACGTCCTTGCCACTCAATGTGGCGTCCGGGGAGAATAGCCTTGTATGATGTGAGTGTAGTGGTGGTGATGAGTCTTGTGTTATAGTTTAGGTTTTAGGACCCGTCATGGGGGCGTAAGGAAAAGTTCTCAAGGTTTTCTATATTTTTTTTAACACGAATTTATGTGTTATCTAGCCAGGGAAATTCAAGTTTATGCATGAAGGGCGTATTGAGATTGACGCTGTGAATTAGCAACCAATATTGCAAAATGTTTAACAATGGAAAATTAAGAAGAGATTTATTCTAGGGGTTTTCAACATAACCCCGTGAGTAGGACCATACTGATAGAGTATGCTAATTATGAAAGGGGAACTATATTGATGTCTCTGACATAACTGTATATAATTCCCAGGCGTAGTTACTTATCAGATACTTTTCCATACTCCCGTGGTTGGAGTATCGTGTTAGTCGGGTCCCAGGTGTGAGTAGAATATGGTTGTGTAAGAGAAAACTGAACTTGTGAATATATGAAATGAATTAGTGAGTCTGGTGATGAGTTCAGTGAGTAGCCGGGCATTAAGAGGAGGATCAACCGAGATCATCCTTAGAAGACCTCACAGTTCACTGAATCTAATCCCTTGTCACGTTTCATAAATAATTAAACTCTATTAATGAAGCTTCAGTATTGTTAAGCTTTCACAAAACTTTGCGACTACTTTTTTTTTCTGTTAATAATTATCTACGTCTATGCTGGCAGTTACTTACAAATATAGCCAAAGCTGACACTAAGAAAAAATTTCAATGTATGTGTGTTTGGGTGACCTTATGTAACGAGAAGTCTCACTTATGTCTGTCAGGATGACCCAAGTTGACCTTCCTTAACCTCGTCTGTAGTGGAAGTTCAGGTCAACTCCGGCCAAATAGTGGGTGTGCAGAGGTGGGGGTTGTAGGATAAAAAGTGAATATGAATGATAATGTATTGGCATGTGCTGTACGTGGAGTGAATGGTAAACGGGAGAAGTAAAGGTTGATGATTCGGTGGGAAGGGGAAAGATAAAAGAGGTATGAGAGAGAGAGAGAGAGAGTATCTATAAATACAAGTAAGTGATGAAAAGGGCGCCAACACTGAAGAGAAGAGTTGATAAAGAGATAGAGGAAAGGAGATAGAGTCAAATAGAAGAGAAATAGTACAATCATAGTCTTTGAATGTTTTTAAAGGAAAGATAAAACGAAAAAGAAAGCTGAAAATTGGAATGAGAAAGAGTTCCATAAATATAAATTTTGACCAGAACAAGTAATCCGATGTCCAAAGAAGATGAGAAAGTTAAAGATAATACGAAACAGAGAAAGTAGAAGAAATATGTGATTGATAAACAGAATTGAGAATATTGTGAAGTGATAAACAGGAAGAGGAGAGTTGAAGAATAAGACGGTGAGGAGCCAGTAAAGAAGAGTAGATTAGATGAGAATGGTTTGGATAGAAGTGTGGAGAAGTGTGGAGTGAGTGTGGAGTGAGTATGTTGAGATAGTGTGTTTTAATGGTATCGGTGAGTAGTGTCTTGTGAGTTGCATGTTATAAATTGATTGTGAGGAAGTATGTTGTGGGAATGTTATGACTTGTGTTGTACGAGTGTTGTGAACATGTTGATGGTAAATTTGATGTGGAGTGTTTTGAAAGAATGTGGTGGATGTGAAGTGAGTGTGTTATAAGAATGTTGTGAGCACCTTTGGAGTGCGTGAAGCATTTTGTAGGTACCGGGAGTCTGTTCTGAGTAAGTCGCTGTAGGGTGTGTTGGTAGGGAGTGTAGTGTAGAGATAGTATTGTCAGTGTGTTGTGAGTGTGTGGGGTCCGCGAGGGTAGGGCCTTGGCACCCTTGTTCTTTACCTTCTTAGCGGATCCAGGACCGCCGGCCGCCCAGTCAGGCTTTGTCTGTATCACGGAGAGAATGGCGGCATGAACAGGAGTCGCTTACACAGACAAAATAGAAGAACAATTGTTGCCATCAACTCGGACAAGAAAAGAAAAGGAAAACGAAAAAAAAAGAAAATCGTTTAACAAAACCCACGACAATAATAACAACAACAACAAAAGCTGAACAGATGCTGTCTTGGAGTACACAAGAAGCAGGAAAGTGGAACAGATGCTGGACAAAGACAAAAAAAAGAAAATAAGAAATGAACTAGACAACGACAAGTGATCTCTTTTATCAATCACAATAAAACAGCAGTTTTTGGGTTGGACAGACCTGAATGACTGTAAACTGAAAAGGGACGCATGAATGCACAAAATAGATGACCAGTTTATGATCTCAACGCTGACGTAAACCGACAAAAAATCTTAAACAATATTTCGCAGACTGCAATTTGACAGCTGGTAATGGTTATACTGTAACATATATCAGTCAACCGTGAAAGGGCTTCCCTAATCTTACAGTATTTATACTGAGATTGAATGGAAGACATTTAGAGGGGGACTGAAAAACATAGATGGTGAAAATTTTTGTCTTTGATCTTCAGGGGTCCGCGGAGAAAACTGAAACTTTTGTACTACTCGAGGTCATCCATCTCTTCGGTACAGGGTTCCTCTGTACTCGTGGAATGAGCGAGGGAGCATTTACCGTCTCCGTACAAAAAGGTTCAGTCACAATACACGATGGTAATAAGAAATTAATAGTAGATTGATTGACCATGCAACGTATCGACCGTGTTGAGATGTCTTCTTCATAGTCGATACGAAACATTGTGATCCTCAAACCTACTGTACTGTACATGAGACGTCCGCCGTGGATTGAAGTATTGCCGATATTCACTGATTATATCGCCATTTCTTCCAAAACAGGGGATACTCAGGGGCAGTTGGTTTGATATATAAGCCTTTGATAAAGTTTCATTGTAAAAAGGATCGTAGAAATAAATCACAATGTGGAAAGTTTCTGAAATGGGATTGGTCAAACTATTTTCATAGGGGGAAGGTTCCTTGTTCACTTTTTTGTGACTGGATTCCATAGGGCCAAGAAAACAACAGTTAAAGCATTGGTGGGTGGAAGGTCGCAGAGAGGAGGATGCTTATTCAAGATTTATCTGCAGGAAGGACAACGTCTTGATAAGCCCTTTCACGCAAGTTTTCTTCTTTTTTTTTTATCGAGGGGGGATCTTCGAGATTCAACTGTCCATCAGCCCAATACAATGTCTTAGCATTTTACTCTTTTTTTTTCATCTATCTGATAATATTTACGTGAAAATAAATAAACAAACCAAATAAATAAAAAACAAATGACATTAAAAATTAAAAATTAAGGAACATTTTAACGAAAAAGACTGGAAGGAACATATTAGATAGGGTGTAATCTTTTTCAGATATTCAAAAGCAGAAAGACAACTGAATCTTGTGAAACATATCCCCAGGGGGGTTCTCTAAAAACAGACATAATATCCACAATATAAACATCATGAAAACAAACTATCTTTATACATTTATAGCAAACACATCGAGTCCAGCGAAGTATTGTATCAAATTCTCACAAAATTTCACACTCATGAAAATTTTGTATATGAGAATCTGTTGTTGTGCCCTTCGTTGTTACTCTACTCACCGCGCCCTTGTCGTCCTCAAGCTCGAACTCCTTCTTCTTCACAGTCTTGAGCTGATTCCTGAAGTTGAATTCAGCAGCCTTCTTCTGAAGCTTGGCGAATTTGTTCTCATACTTGGACACCTTCTTCAGAGTAGGCTTGATGCTTGAGTGGTACGAGGAGGGAGAGAAACCGTGAGTAAGGCAAGTTAAGCAAGAAGGGAGGAATGATAAAAAATAACAATTTGCGAGAGTAGACAATAACCAGAGAGTGGAGAGGTGCTGTGGAACATGGGGATGCTGTTGGTGTGGCGGTAGAATGGATGGAGTCTGTCAAGAGTAACTACTTAAAGTGGGTCTCATGGGTATGACTACCCATTAATGACAGTGTGGATACAACACACTGTTTACTAAGCTTTCGGTACACAAAGGGGCAGCGTGGCCATTACTGCTATAGGTGCTTCTAATACGGTTACAGAAAAAAAATAAAAAGTTAACCCAAGATTCAGTGCGGCTGTTGTAGAAATAGTGTTCCTTGGTTCACGAACACTGTGTATGATAACTCGAAAAATAAAGAAAAATTAAATACGAGTTTGCTTCTACGCTAGTGTTGCCTTTTCGTGACATGGCTAACTTATCAATGACAAATCAACCCGCGTGATGGACTGCAAGGTGCAAGTAATACTGGGACATGTGAACTATAGGACTCATAATTTCCGCCGAACCTAACCTAACTTAACCTATCGTACGAAGCCTTGTCCCAAAATAACCGAGCACCGACTGTGAATGGTGTTTTTGTTCATAACCTTGCGGTGTCTAACATGAACGTCGGCCACAGCCTTACAGTTCACAGATTAGATTTAGAGATATATACAGCACACTGCAGCCTGTGGCAGTATATAAGTGATCGTACTCGTGTAAAATCTATCTAGGGAGAGATGATTTGCGAAGATGAGAATGAATGTTAGCATGTGTATATAGGTGTGTATTCCATAGCATAGAAGACTCATATTGAAAATAATTGATAAACCAAATATAATTATTAAGCAATTAATATAAACAGACAAAATAGCAGTGATTAGCGAAATGTAACATCAAATGAAATATAATATATTGATAACAAGGTACACTTGAGAAGTGATGTGACAAACTGAAACATGGGTAAATTATCAACACGGTGACGGTAGAGTATGCTGAACAAGCCATAAAGTAACTCGTCGCGACACACATAACCTCTACAGCAAATTCCGCACCAGATAGTCCCTCAGTTCCTGCCAATGTATTTATTGCTTTAAATTCTGTACACAAATTTCTAAACTAGACAAAACCTTTTGAATTTTTTTTAGAGTATTTCTAGTTAATTATAAAGATTATGAATATGTTTCTGTCCATTTCTATTGATTATTTTTTCTAACTTGCAAGTTTTTTAAGTATGTAAGTATAGTAAAGTTGCAGCAAGGAACTTTTTTATTAAATTTCCAAACACCTGTTGGATACAATCAAATAAGTGAAGATCATCTAGTGTCATAAACTTAGTCTACTCTGAAATTCTGACGACGTGGGAGGAATCTGTGCGGAAGTTGTATTAAGTTATAAAGGTCTGTCGCGAGAGCTTGAAATAATAACTAAAAATCAAGAGAGGGACTCAAAGTCATAAGGGTGTTATTAGAGAACAAAAGAGGCGTACAGACACCCTTATCACCAAGAGGAAAATGAGAGGTCCGTCCGCACAATCAGACGTTGTGAATAACTCGGAAAGAATGCATTCCTTCTAAGATAAACATTGAATTAAGAATTAGAATATTTTATTATATCTTACCATTTGTTTGTATTAAATAATCTTTTATATATATTTTGATGGATTTATCTTAGATACTAATGTGAATCTGACGCCATTTGTTTACCGCTGATTTCATCTGTTGACATCAGACGTCTCTCGCATATATTCTAATTACACGAACGGACCAGAAGAATACAAAGTATTAAATACTTACAACTTGCCACGCAGATCGTTGACCTGAATGTTGAGCTCGTTGATCTAGAAGATGGTGGAGGTCAGTTAGACAAGAATTAAGATTCGTGCACATCTTTGATTTATGTGGTTGAAAAGTTTATTAGCTGTAGAAGGACTGATTTGGAAGAATATTTTACCGGTGACTAAACCAAATAGATTTGTGATGGGATGCATCTTAGAATTAATTGAATTTTACTATACTATTTAATGGGATGTTCTCATGACAATTGATGTGAGTACTTTCATTTTTGATAAACCCCTTGTTATGAATTACAGTCATTGCAATACATTAATAAATCTTACCTCAAAATGTTCCATTAATAAATTACCCAAGATTTTGTTTATTAATAAAAAGAGATTGATGTAGTGGTGGTGAGAAGGTGGTTATAAAAAACAAAATACTGAAGCTTTGCCAGAGCCTGCGTCAAAGAGTTTGAATGCCAAGCATAAACACTTGGAAAACTTTTATTCCAGAAAATGCATGAAAGCGAATTATTGCCATTACTTAATTTAAACATTATATCTTAAATAGTTTGAGACATGGATTGGAAATTCTTTTTGTTTATATAAAATGAAAAGATGAGAAAAGAATATAAAATTGAATATGAGAAAACATAATATAAATTAAACTTAAAGTAAACTTAAACTATATACTGACATATAAACTATAAACATATAGTGGTTATTAGTTGAGTCAGAAGATAGTTAAAAGATACAGAGGAGGTAAAAATTTAAATAATATTTCGACGCAACAAAGAATGAAACTGACGAATCAAATAAAAAGAAATAAAAAGGGGAAACGATCAAGAAAGGGGATACAGGAGGGAGGTGGAAAAATTTCACGTACAAAAAAAGGCGAGAAAAAATCACCAGTGAAAGCATTATATGAAGAAAATAAAGACTTTTTTTTATTGTCTTTCCACCATTTTCTTTTACTGGTTTATTTATAGCCTGTATCTTTTAATATGTTCTACGCCAAGTTGTGCAACGTTTTAGTCTACACATAAACATTTATATACTGCAGTCTACTTTACATAGTCTACTGTAAAAGCTAAGACAAGACTTCCCAAATCACGGAAGCTCTCTACCTTATTAACACTAAAACTACAACAAAAAATGCCTTTCACTCCTCCCCAGTCTTGAAAAAAAAGTAAATAATAATAATAATGATGATAAAACAGAAAACACATACCAATAGGATGATAAATAAACCTGGAATGTCAACAACCGATGAGAATGAGAGACAGAGAGAAACTTTGTATGCTTTACTTTTAAGGCCTAAAGTTTTTATCTGTCCTGCTCATAGGACATGGGATCAAAATGAAGTCTTCAAGTTTGTTGGTTTAATGTATCAATGTTTTTATTTCCAATCTTTCCTTCAAGATTGGGGATAGGAGGAAACACTAAGCAGCCAGGAGAGCTTAATTCGACACTTTAGATGATCCAGTGCCAAAGTTAATTGTCGTTAAATCCGTTAATAACTGTCGTTAACCAAGTATTAAATAGTTAGTTGTTAGGGTACTTGATCGAGGCTTCTGGTTGATCCATCTTTGAATGGATTTTGGTTCATCCAACTATTTTATCACTGTCCTTTCGTGAGGATAATCCGTCAGTGATTAATAAATTGGAAGAATTTATTGATGAACTGACGGCGTCGAATTAAAGTTTCTTGGCTGAGCTGAATTAATACTACGATTTTTTTAATTTGCGCGACGCTAAAAGAGAGCGTGGTCACGGTGTCCCGCATAGCCCACTCCGCCCGCGTGTGGCCCACCACGCCTCTTTCAGCGGTAAGAGAGTTCTGCTCCAAGCTGTCTGCAAAATCTAGAATATCTGCTGTTAGTCACTCCGTTTGCCACCAAGTAGGGAGTTGCGTGTTCGGATTAGTGGCTCTAAAATGTCCGTGGTGGTTATTTAAGGTTTAGGTTTTTGACTGGACCAACACCGGCCGAAGAAAGAGCAGCTTCGCTATTCCTTGACCGTGTCCATAAGTGATAGATTGTTCAGAACGGCCGCGACTCTAAAACTCTATACTTTAATGACCTCTTCGAAGATATGTGCATATATTATTGATACAAACCGAGTGTTAAGAATGTGGGGAGTCGAGTTTAGAGGTGGTGATCTTGACAGCCTATCAAAGTATGAACACGGTTGTGTGGGTCTGCTGGTCCGAACTGACACAAGTCCCCAGGGAGGCAAAGTATAAAACCAAACAGTAACCCAGGTTCGCACAAGAGGGGGAAGGACTAGACGATACCCAGGCCTGCTTCTATGGAGGAATTCAACAGTTGTATGGCACTTCCTTCTTTTTTTTGTATATTTTACCTGTTGTCTGGTTGGATATGAAAATCTTACACAACATCCTTTTTTTTCGGGACAGGTATAGATAATCGTAAAAAAAATTTCTTATGTGCCCGTTTTCGTAGGTAAAGCTCAACAAAAACAAAAAACAAAAGGTTTTGCAAAATAAATGCAATCAAATATCATTCAAAAATAAAAAATATGCAGGTGAGGAAAATCTATAAGATAGAAAAAACGAAGAAAGAGGATAATGCTTGAAAAGTGAAAATGAAAGTCGGCCTTTGGCTGAGTATGAAGTGCCATACATGGGATGCTGGGTTGACCTCAGAGGGCCGCGTGCTGCCCTGGGGACTGCGAGGGAGGGGGCTCACACGGGGCCAGGTCAGGTATGGTTCACGCTATAAGGGGTTAAAAAATGGGGCTCAAGACGGGGCCCCCGAGGCCCCGGGGGGCACCGAAGGCCCCGTCCCGATTCCCCGTCGCTAATGGTGGGGTAGAAACATGCAGAGGTTACGTGTTGTCCGGTTAGCAAGCGAGGAGGAGGCTTGAGAGCCTAATATCCGCAGGCTCGTCCTACACCTAAGGACTTAGCTATACAACTGGAGGCGTTGGGAATTAGTAATAGCCCTCCACAGGTAACTTCTGGTTCCATTAAGCTCAACAAACGGTTTGCCCAGCCCTGGACAAGTGACAAGAAAATTGAGAAGCAAACGAAGGTACTTATAGAAACTGCAATTATTGTTGTTTGCACAAAGCAGTGGAAGTTAGTTCAAAATAATAATAAAAATAACAAGAGAATTGATGCCTCTCATAATAGTGGGAACCGAACGCAAGTGTTTGGGAGTTTTTTCTGATAGGAAGCTTTGCTTAACCCTGAAATTAAGGGACGTATACCTACGCACACTGCCTGTGTGTTATCTGATGGTGCAGCCCTTGGCCCTGACAGCCTGGCTGAGCATCACCACCTGAGCAGGGGGGGCAGGAGGGACCTGCTGTAAGGTTTCAGCAGGCGGGCAGTACTAGCCTACCCCCGCCCACCCTCACTCTTGCGTTATTACACTCTACTCTCACAGATCACCACTATGGTGGTACTTTATCTCTAATATTTGGTAACAGTGAATGTTTTAGTAGTCTAGAAAATTATTACTTAGAAAAGTCTACTTAAAAAAATTAAAATACTTTAAAAGAGTGTACAGCGGATTTTAGAGAATTTTTTTTCCTAAAGAAGTAACTGTAAGAAACCTTTGCCATCGCTGAGGCATCTCTCTAACACAGGGACAGCCAAGGCATCTATCACAGAGCATCACAACCAGTGGCATTAATAAGCACATATGAAAGGGAGGACTAAATAAGCTTGAACACAAGAGAAGAGGCTTGACACACACAAAGCGCTGCGGGGGTGCCAGAAGGGTGGTACCAACGTGGGGGAAAAGGTGTCACAACAACCAGCCAATGCTAATGCCAGTGTTCTTGTACACTACTAATGTACATTCAGTACTTGCGTACCTTGGGGCCCTTCAACGGACTCTAGTTACTCTGAGCTGCACTGTACACTAAATTCACAAGATCAATCAACCGAGTCACTGTGCGTCAGGTAAAAACGTACAGCGCATCGGCAGATTGACACCACTACTTAACTAAGCATGAGTATGCTAAGGTTGTGTGTGTCGGGTGGCAAGGTGATGGTGGGGTGGGGTTGGGTTTGAGGGTCCCACGCACCCCCAGCTGGGTCAACAGCAGCAGCAATATGAGAAGGAACAGGAGCAGCGTGTGTGATGGTCAACCCTTACTTCCGATAAGCGTGCACTTCATACAATTCTACCAGTGGCGGGGCACTAAAAGGAGGAGGAGGTGGGCTGCGCTATCATCTACGACATCCTCACTACGCGATCTACTCTTCTACTACAGCCAGATAACAGGAGCTAGTTGGTAGCAAAGGTGTCCCGTGTGAGAAGGGCAGTGAGCAAAACTGAGAGCAATTTGGGGAGTGAGTTGTAAGATACATTGTGGGTGTTTGGGGGGGGTGTTGGCGAGTCACTACTGCTACGGGCGGGCGTGGGGACGGACGGATAGACGAACTAGAGGCGTTGACGGGACGAATGTTGTGTGGGGTGGGCGGCGTTGAGAAGAGCATCCAGGGCTGGTCAAGCCGTGGTAGTCACACAGTACTACTAGCACTCCCGATTGGTACAAGGAGGTCGGGCCACTGTACCTCATAATCTCTCCTGCGAACCTCATACTCAAGGTCCCATTTCTGGGACTCGCAAAGGAACAAACGCTCGTGGTATTCCTTGCAGATATCCCTAAGTGCGTCTATAACAGAATGTCTCGTTAAGGTATGATAAGTGCGAGCCCAGAGGCTCTCGGGGAGAAAATGAAAGCAGTACAACAGGTAAAACATACATACATATGAATATCGAATTGAAATTTAGCCATAACTAATGGGTAAAAACGATGATTTAGAGTGATATCTTGACAAGAGATATCTTAGGAAGAATGATTTGTGACTATCTATGGATGAAGTGAAGCCCTCCATAAGAAACAGCCTGCAAGGGAAGAGAATTACTAGAGGACACTGGCTGAGGTAAAACCCTTGGGATAAGGCCAAGAGCCACTACTAGCGCGGCCGCAGGAGGCCAGCGACAGCCTAAGGGCCAGCCTGCAGGCAGCCAGCGTGCACTAGCTAGCGAGGTAGCTTGCGGGCACCTCGCTGTTACCTGATAGTCCTTCATTTTGATCTGGTGCTCCAGATCCCATTTGTCACCCTCAAGGCTTGCAATGCGTATATGGAAATCCCTACACAGTTTTTCAAGCTCAGCTATAAACAGAAAATAAAAAAAACTAAATTAGGGCGAAATACCCAACAAAGTTTTTCTTTTTTTTTTTCTTGTGGAATGGTGACATGTAAAGGCGGTCCTTCAAACACCTCCGACGCGCGGTCTCTGGAAACACATAGAGGGACTGACACACACAAACACACACACACACACACACCGCGCTACACACACATGTTGGAGTTCTGATGTCCAGTGCAGGGGTGGAATGAATGCAGGGACCAGATAGAGGGATTGGGTGTGTGGAAAAAATAAAAAAAATAATAATAATAAAAATAATAGCTTCTCAGCTAATCTCATCACTCGAACTAAAAATAACAAGGCCAAAAAAATAAGTCAAGAAACATCACATTGTTGTGGTAAACGCTACTAAGACACTCGGAAATGACACACGGTAAAAGCTATACGGTCGTCGTTGAGCAAATCGGGTTACAAGCTGAGAAAATTATGAAAATAAAATCGAAAAAATATAGAGATCAACAAAAGTATAGAATTAAAAAAAATAGCATTCCGCGTCACAATAGGACCGTAAGATTGAATGAAGGTTTGAGCTGGTAACATTCATGTCAATCCCGTCTTATCTCCCCTCTTTCCCCTCCCGACCAACCATCCAACCATACGACGTCCAAACTGGTTGGGAAAGTAAAAAGGTAAAAAAAGGGAAAAAAAAAAGTAGACAGCGGTAGTAGTTTGGTGAAGGGTGGTTGGTTGAGGGTAGTTGATGGGGGGGCAGTTAACTATACAAACCTCGTAGTCCTTCCTTATGATTTCCATCTCGACATCATACTTTCCGCTCTCTATCTTCGCGATGTGTTCGTAGTATTCTTTAACAATAGCACGCAGCTGGTCTGTTGAGGGAGAATTAAGTGGGGACGTTCAACATCTCAGGGGAACTTGACTCAGAGGATTAACTTTCGATGATGAGCTTCGGCCAAAAAAATCACCAAAAAAATGAAAGGGGTGAATGTGTTGAGGGTAAATTAAGTGAACTTGTCTCAACATTTTAAGGGTAACTAGTTTCAAGTGGGTAGACTTCGTCGATATTAAGTTTAAGTGGGCAATGTTAACTTTTTAAAGGTTCGACAAAAATTTTTATAAGAACTGGGTATGTGTGTTTAAGACAATTTCGTTGATTTAATATGTTAGATATTTTCAGTATCTTGAGGATTACTTTATTGTGGAAGGTGACCTTAGACGGTGAGGCTCGTCTATAAGATAAGATAATAGGACATCGGAAAAAAAATCGGTTTAAAGATTTTTTTTTTCGAATTCGTCGAAAACTCCTTAAGCATAAATGGGTTTATTATTTAAAAAAGTGTACTGATTAAAGTAAAAATGTGAGGAGTTTTATAATTTTGTTATTGGGTGTATTAGAAAAAAATTACAAAATATTTATCATTGCCTTTGTAGTGACTTAGAAACATTAAGGGTATATATCTGATAAAAATTACTAGGAACTTCAATGAATTTTACAACAGTTACTTTTCTCAGGGCTCGCAAAGGCTGATGGAACAACGAACTCATCAATACGGAGCCATAAACGAGTTTTTCTGTACATCAAATATCCACTACTGACATCTCCCTTGAAGGTAATTCCCCACGAGAGGTAATAACTATCTCTTCTGGGGGTAAATTCTCTTCTGAGGTAAAGATTACCTTAAGTACTTAATTCCTTGTTTACTGTTACCGTCTTACGATTGAGCGCTGGAGTACAGTACAGTATCTTGGCCCAATATTGTCGTTAATATCGAAGTATTAACCGAGTAAAGGTAGATGTTATTAAGCCTTGTGATGCATAATACATGGCCTATCAATCTATATATATGACTACTCAAAGTTATGATGATAGTAGACACTTACTGTATATGTGACTTACTGGACGTTGTGATGTAAGATTCATTTTTCTTTTCTTTTTTTAACTCTCGCACGTGTGTCTGCTCTGCTCCTCAGCAATGTAAACACAGAGTTCTTTAAATTTGAAACGAGTTGACAGTTGCAAAAAAAACGATTTTCCACTGTAATTTTTTTCTGGGGGGGGGATCCCTCTCTAGCCACCCTCGATCCATATGTATACTGGTGTGTAGCTGTCGCGTGTGTGTGTAGGTCGAGACAGGGTGACGTATGTGTCTCTACCAGGCTACACATGAGCTAACCAAACTACGTAACTACACATAGAGAGATACAACACATGGCATCAGCTGCTGCTCTCACCAAACTCCTCAGCTAATCACAGCCCGTGGTGGTACCTGTCTTGTTGTGGAGGAAAAAGTGGTTAATATTATATCTGTTGCATTTGATATAAATAGCCTAGAGGTTCCTATATACACCTAGTTTATAGTCCCAAACCTATAGCTAGTTTGCTATTTTTCCAAGAATCCCTCTTTCGAGTTGTTGTTGGTTGTTTTTTTGTTTTCATTCCTAAACTTTATCGTTTCATTCTGTACATTTCATCTTGTTGCTCTTTTCGTTTTCCCTCTTTATCGGGGTTTAATTCGTTTATTTTTTCTTCAGTACTTCTTTCTTTCACACCTCTTATTCCTCTTTGTATTATTTCTCCCACTATCTCTCTCCCCTTTTCCAGTTCTCGTTTATTCCTCACATTCACCATTTTACTTATTTTTCCCCCTTCTCGAGTTATCCATCTTCCTATTGTTTAGTATATTCGCTCATTTCCCCCACTTTTTTTTATATTTTTCTTCCCAATCTCATATTCCCTTCCTTTATCACGTAATTCTTTTTTTTTTGCTTGTTTTCCCTCCTATTGATTTCTTTTATTCCTTGTATCTCGCTTCCACCCTCACTCATGTAGGTACATTCCTACTCCTTCCCTCACGTAGGTACATTCCTACTCCTTCCCTCACGTAGGTACACTCCTCCTCCTTCCCTCACGTAGGTACATTCCTTCTCCTTCCCTCCTTCTCCTTCCCTCACGTAGGTACATTCCTACTCCTTCCCTCACGTAGGTACATTCCTTCTCCTTCCCTCACGTAGTACATTCCTTCTCCTTCCCTCACGTAGGTACATTCCTACTCCTTCCCTCACGTAGGTACTCCTTCTCCTTCCCTCACGTAGGTACTCCTACTCCTTCCCTCAAGTAGTACTCCTTCTCCTTCACTCACGTGGTACCCTTCTCCTTCCCTCCGTAGGTACTCCTACTCCTTCCCTCACGTAGGTACCCTTCTCCTTCCCTCACGTAGGTACTCCTACTCCTTCCCTCACGTAGGTACTCCTTCTCCTTCCCTCACGTAGGTACTCCTTCTTCTTCCCTCACGTAGGTACTCCTTCTCCTTCCCTCACGTAGGTACTCCTTCTCCTTCCCTCACGTAGGTACTCCTTCTCCTTCCCTCACGTAGGTACATTCCTTCTTTCCTCACGTAGACGCCTTTCTTCCTAGATAGACGTCTCCCTCCCCCCTCCCTTCCTAGGTGTGTCTTCGTATGCCTCGCGCAGGCAGGACAGGGTGTCCCCCTCCTTGGATCTCTCACCGTCCTGGTCACTATACCTTCGTTGGCACCATCGAGGTTCTTGGGTTGGCCACAACGCTGGTCAATGATCTTGCGCCTCTCAGCGGCCTTCCTCTCCTGTTCCTTCTTCAGTTCCTCAGCGGCCTTCTTACGGAGGAGCAGCTGTTGGAGGAAGGGTCAGTAGGTCAGTCCAGAGATTAAGATTTACTTCGGCTTTGCATGCTATACCGTGGAGTCTATACGCTCAGAGGGACAGGCTACATACAGAAACACTATAGTTTTATATCCAAAATGTTAAAACTCGAGTACTCCACTAAAACACCATCTTCTGCTCGAGTCATGAAGTCCTTCCGCTTAAGGCGGCTTTCCAAAAAGCTCTGCCCCAAACCTAGCATCTTTATACACAAAACAATCCTCAAATCGAAGCCAGAAAAACAGAAGCTACAGTACTTAACCCGAATGTCATCCTCATGGAGCAATTCTCCTACTTAAGCCCTCCCCCTCTCCATCTCAATACCCAGTAGCATTATAATACAAAGCTAAACTACCAGCTTTGAACTCCAAAAAATAGAAGTTTGTGTACTCACCCTGAGCTTCTTCTTACGCTCGGGAGTCATGAAGCCCTTCTTCTGCTTCTTAAGACTCTGCTCTTCCAGGCGCTTGCGCACCTCGGCCTTCCTCCTGTCGATGTCATCCTGCTTCTTCTTGGCATCCTGCGGAGCGTCTCAAGGAGTCAGTGACTGCTTGTAGTAGGGTGCCTCGGGGACCTTACTTGGCCCGCTTGTGTTTATATTTAAATGGGGGACTACCTTATATAGTTACATTCATTGTTCCTATAGCCACTTGAAAATGGCCCTTCGAGGGGGATATAAACAATGATTATCAAAGAATTATAGTGATTTTTAATACCTGGTTGAAATTCTGGAGATTGTGAAAAGATAGTTTGAGTCATAGTCTATTTTTATACTATGTGAGTTTATTAGTTGTATTTTTGACATTCGGTTTCTAACGACAAACTAAAAATGCAATTTAAATTAATTTGTCTCTTTTATCTGCGGGTCGATACAAATTTATTCAGAGCGACTGAATGATTTTGAAATAGTTGTTATGAATATGTTTGTCACTGAGAAAGGGGAGGTGTGTAAATTAATTATCAATAATTTAAGAAAATAAAGAAATTAGTGATGACTTGATCTTAGTTTCAGTAATTAAAAAGGGATGGTTAAAAAATAAAACAGGGTAGGGCAGTGCTGAAATGGGGAAACTTAGATTATCAGAAGAAACTCAAAACTTTGGGAGTAAAACCGTGCAGAAAGAAAGAAACAAACGCTATTTTTTTCACGAGATTTAATCGCTTTTATGGACTTTTTTGTGGGATTCTACACTAAAGTGACAAAATTGTTAAGTATATTATCAGGCCGCCACCCTTCACTGCTCAGTTTGTTCCACGGCGCAGTCTTACACCTGCGCTTCTAAGCTCAAGAATAAAAATTTGATAATGATCTTAAGGCTAATGGCATCGCTGACTGACTGATTGGGGTCCTAGAATTACGAACTTACAGGAACTGAATGCCTTTTGTGTCATCTCTATTTGCAATGAGTTGATCCAATTTGTCGAACTTGCAAGAACCGAGGCCAATCGTTTTGTCACTAACTGGATGAAACTGATTGAAGAGTCAGACATGAGACTTAGAAGTGGAGATTTAATCGCATCTTCAATGACGAGATGAATTTGGTTCAAGATTCTTAAGTTAAGTATGAACACTGAAAGCCAATCAAACCTTCACCGACTGTATTATTTTGGTTATGATTCAGAACGTAGGTTATAAGATGCTAAGAATGACTTTTGACCCCAGAATCTGAAGTAATAATCAAATTTAATCAATCGTCTTTATGTTGACTGGTTGACTGGCAGCGAATCGGATGGCGCTCTGACCTCCTGACGCCCTACGAGTGATGGGGGCTGGTGGGAGGCCGACCCTCGTGGTGGCCTCGACACAGCCCACAACACTAACGGAGGGCCGAGGAGCTGACCCACTCACCACCCTCGTCTTACGAGTGGGACCTGCTTAAGAGGAATCACTCACTGTGGGAAGAAATTTTTGAACATATGGCGTTTTGAGCACCTGTTGTAAGTTTAGTGCGTTTCTGAAGATGACTGGATGCTCGTATGGGTCAAATTGTCTATATTATTATTTTTATATTAAATTTGGGGATAAATGATCAAAAAGAGAAATATTAAATAGAGGTAATTGGATCTTTTGTTGAAATTCTCTAGTTTGATGGACCTTTTTATTGAGAAGAAAGAGAACAGGGATAGAATAAAACTGATTATTGGGGTAATAGGGATATCAGAAAATAATAAATAATGGGAAACAACAAACATCAAGGAATTATTCTGTAAGGGATTATAAGTTGACAGGGAAAATTGGAAGATTTTGACATTATTCTACGAGAGAAATAATGTCAGGACACTGAAACTGTACAACATGGAGGTGATTATTGTTATATCGGGTGTGCAGTTCCTCAGACAAGACAATATGAGGGGGTTGAGTTGGGGATGCTGCCCCGTGGCCGTCCGTCGCCCGTGGGCCGCTAGGGTAGGAGGGGTGTAGCCCTGGCCTCACTGCACATTGTGCCTCTCTCAACCACCCAAGACACCACCATCATCCCCATTGTGGCCAGCACTGTCCACATCAGCTGATCGAGAACTGTTGTTATGCTCGCTTCTGGGAAGTCGAGATAACGACAACTTTTTGTTGCCAGCTGACGAATGGTATTATTTTCGCTCCCTGACGAGGGTTGAGATAATAACATTACGGGTCGGCTGACTTACAGTATGTTGTTATATTCTTTCCTGGCCTGGGTGTTATACTGTCTCCGTGGCACAAGGACTGATATAATAACATGTTTTAAGGGGATCAGCTGACTAATGGTGTTATGCTCGGTCCCTGGCATGGGACTGAGATAATCCCAATATTGCGGATCAGCTGATTGATGTTGTTATGCTCGTTCCCTGGCTCGGGTGTTATCTCGCTCCGAGGCACAGTGACTGAGATAATAAACACCATTATTATCAGCTCTGGGATGAGGTAGGCTGGTAGGTGGTAGGTTGAGGACACGGTGGGCGTGGGTAGGCGTGTGGTGTGGTGAGCAGGTGCCACGCCCAGTACTATGGCGGGCAAACCTGCTGATTACCAAACATGGGGTTGCTGGCAGGACGACCAATGACCTCACGTGGCGTCACATGACCTCACTTGTGACGTCAGGTGACAACAACGTGGTGGCGGTGGTCCTCAACTCTGGCTGCTGGATGCTCTCAAGAGCCTCAACTTCAATTATCAACAAATTTCTTATGTTATATCAAAAGTTGACAATTTAATAATCGTGAATAACCTTGGTTTTATATATATTAACATTCAACCATAATAACAAATGGCAAGATTATGTTTACCTTTTATAACTGACATAATTACATTAACTTTGCTGTTTTAGCCAAGGATGGATATTTATTGTAAGGGCCGTAACTTTATCTTTACAATGTGTCTCAGTTTAGAAAATGTTTATCCATTTGATGTCATCTTTGCATTACTTTTACTTTATCTTACAAGCATTTTTTTTTCTTAGCCAATATTCCCCGCATGCAGTTAGTAGGAAACACTCAGGACATACTTCCAAAGCGCGTTGTCTAGCTAGTACCTCGGCCGCCTTTGCCTTCTGTAGGGAGAGAGGGTGGAGGTGCTGTGAGTGGGTGTGTGGCGCGGAGCGGTTACTTACAGCACCGGCGTCCAGCCCACACACCGCCACACATGCCCACAAAACAGGGAGAGAAAACGGGTAAAAAACGAAGGTTATTCATAGATACAGACAGACTCGCAGGCGTTCTTGTAAACAGAAATGCTGCACCATGTTGACAGACATTCACATGTACAGTTTACACACCCGAGCGAAAAAATATGCATACATACTGTACATAGTTGTACACTGACACACACACAACGTGTATGTCAGGATTACTTATGCGTCCTAATGCATAAATAATAGATCTCATTCGTGTTTCTTAAAGTCATTCTGAAGAAAGGAAACGGCGAGAGCATTCACACGTGTGTGTGTGTGTGTGTGTGTGTGTACGTGTGTGCATGTGTGTACGTGTGTGCATGTGTGTACGTGTGTGCATGTGTGTATGTGTGAGCCCCGCCACGCTCACACACAATTACCACTCAGGGACACGAAGAACAACACTCATAAAGGGTCAGAATAGTCGACAGGGTCAAACAAGGTCGAACTCCTTTCCTGTAGGGGTTCTGGTATCCAAACATTGACCGTCAGTAACAGGGATAAGTGACCTTCGCCTCGAGGTCAATTGCCGAGGTTTATTAAGGTCACGACACATTCTTACTGTATAAATGTCACCAATCGGAGTAGTTATGTATCGATCAAACGAGCTTGTCAGTCAAAGACATTATGTAAGTAGTTGGTGGTTGAATTTAGTAAACTTGGATGCAATAGTAAACCGTCTTATAAATTTGTGGTTTGATTTAGTAAACTTAGGATAAAACAATAAACCATATTAAATATTTGTAGTTGAGTTTAGTAAACTTAAAATATAAAATAAATAAATAAATGTATAAATTAATAGATGCCACTTTTTTCGGGGTTAGGATCTGTAAATGTTTGAAATGAAATTTATGACATTAAGAGGAAAACTTAAATGAAATAAGTAGTTAGGAAAATTAATGAAAGTAGATGATAAATTGAAATTTTCCAAGAGGTCGAGAGAGTAGTTGAAGAAGCTTTATGTTAGAAAATGTGAAATGAAATTTACCGCGTAACTGATTATTCATTCAACAAAAACTGTTTGTGTAACTAGAGACTGACTCATAATATGCTTCGAAGTAATTTCAACAAATTCAAAAAAATAAATGAATCTGGAATTAAAAGAAAATTTTTATTAAAAGTATAATTCAACCATTCCTTCGAAATTAAGAGGTTTCGTTTTTTTTCCGCGGACAGTGAAAGCTGAATTTATTTTTTATTCAGAATATATTTTTTTTTCAAAATACGTGAGAACATTCTACTTCGAACATTGCCGGCAACGATGGCATGTTTTCATATTCAAAACTGGCTTAAAAGGATTTTTAAAGAAGCTTTTTTCACTTCCGATTGACTGACAGCATTCTTGTTTGACTGATTTTGTTGCTGCTTCCAATCTTCGTTTTCGGGATTGACTGACTCGAGTTTAATTTGTTTGCAGTCGTTCATAAACCTGGTTCAACTGAATTTATCAGTAGTGATATTTGTTTAGTCATTGTTTTATTCGAAATTGACTGACAGTGCTTTCAAATTTTAATTTTCTAATATTTTCTTTGCATGACACTGCATTCGAATTTTGACTGAATATGTTTACAGGGGTCACCACGACAGGGGAAACAATTAAACAAGACATAAGTGACGACGGGGTAGAGGGACTGCGCAGTGTGCTGTAAAAACCACTTCTTCAAAATATATTATGCAAGATAAACTTCAAACCTATTTCATTTACTTAAAAAAAATGTATATATAATCGCCAGAAGACTATAGAGCAAAATGACCCTGACGTTTTTCCTAAATCTACTTATTTTTTTACATCTACTGTAAACAGATCTATTTCAAAGCTACTTCTACTGACATATAGTTACCATGACTCATCTCATTTGATAACTTCCTGTAATGTATAAAAATGATTATTAATATTATCAGAATTTTCTTAAAAACTACTTTACGTAAGTACTGAAGATATATATTATATTATATTGAAAGTTATTAATTTTGAAAAGATAGTTATATTTACAGTTACTTTACCATTATATTTGTTTTACTGTCAAATTATGAGTTTTTATATATTAAATTCAGAGTTAAAGTTTTGGAACAAACGAAATCCCGGGCGGATACGACTCTCCTCCACGACGATATATTTAAATACTATAAAAAATATAACACAATTCCTTAAATGCAAAAGCAAGCGGATTTACCATAATATACTTAACGACGATAATTTCGTCATGGATTATTATATTATTTATGAATAGATACACGAAAAGTTTGCTCAAATAAGCTTAATTCAAATAAAGTTTAGCCAAGAAATTTAACACCATATGGCACAAGAACTAGCCCAACCGTTCGCTCATCTTTTTACCGTTTACACTTACTATACTTAATCTAGATCCTCAAAGTTTGCACAATGAAGATTTCCAGTAAATCAAGTTTCAAGGACGCGCCTCACTGGTTGTCCTCAGGTAAACCGCAAGACATCAAAATCCTATTCACTAACTTAGAACCAGACAATATTAAGTATTGTTTCTAATTAGTTAGTCTTAGTGCAGTATTAATGCTGTTTTTGTACATTGTTTTTTTTTCTTATAGCATAAGACAACCAGCTAGGAACACTGTTGCCTCTTCAGTTCCTGGGGTTATTCACTATACGAACCTTTTGGGAATAAATGATCCTTGAACCATAAACAAGATTTTTGGTAATGGATGTTGAGTTATTGTGTTTTGTACATGATTGATGATCTTAAATGGATACAGTATAAGCAGAGAGGTTGCCCTTGTATTTTGGATGTACAATAAATCAATTGTTTTGAAATTTAAATTGCAATGGTTAATTTTGCTTCTGGGTGAAATTAGGCACATTTTGATGTATTTTGAGCTTATTGGTGTTGAAATGTGGGCAGGAGACAAGAGTTATTTCCAATTAATAATAATAATAGCATTACTCTTATTATTAATAGAGTAATTTTTTAGTGACATACAATTTGTAAAGTAGTGAGCGGTTGGGCTGTGTTCTCGGAACCAGGCATCACATTCTTTAAGGTTCACAAGTTAAATCTTCCACGTAAATGGAAACTCAAGAACGGATATAACTGACTCACTTAGTCACAGACTAATTGGAGTCAGACTTATAATGAAACTTTGTAGTCACCAACGGCGCTCCCTTCTTGCATCCCCAATTTAATGAGAAGAAAAAATATCGTGAGAACCTTTGAGAAAGTGAGCCACACTGAGCCATGGAGGAGCGTCGCAGCTCCGGTCTATGACTGTTGAAGACGCCCGTCCAAGTGAGTCGCTTTTAGTGGGTTAGTAAGGACGACAACTTACGACCGCGGGATCCTCCTCCTCCTCGGACGACTCCTCCTCGCTGCTGTGAGAACCATCACAAACATTCCAGATTAGTTCCCAACATGCACCTGTTTCTTCCTTAAACCCTTTCCTCCTCCTCCATATGTTAATAAAAGCCTCAATGACAAGTTTTACCCACCACCCCCTTCAGCAGACACACAACAGCTGGGTCAGACAGTGTTCTCGTGGTTGATTCCAGATCTTTAAATATTTGTACGGTAATTTGTTCCTAGTTCGAGGTATTCAAAACTCATCAGACTGGCTCATTAAAACGACGTCATAAAGTTGCCTTAGAAATACAGACAAGAAACTACTGTATTTAGCTGCGTCCTCTTGTCCCCTGTACATGACAACAATTGACATATTAACTAATAATAATCTGGAACTTTTACGAGAACATCGGCAATCCCTCAGCGATCTGTTCACACCAAAGAAACGTACAAACAATACCTCGAGTCCTCTTAGGTTCTTATTAAAGAATACGCTTTCGTTAGAGTAAAGCTAGACTGTCTCAAGAGTTAAGTTTGGTAACATTATGCGAGAACAAGAGTTACTTATGTTTATCACCTAAAGACGGACTCAATGTCAACCTTCACCCACACATCCTAACCGCTTGGATTGGCTGGGCGGGTGAGCGGTGTGTTGTCGTTGAGGCATGTGGATAATCAATACCGGTCTTGTGGCACTTGCACAGTAGATTTTCAAAATATTTCCATCATCTAAAAAGTTTACTACCCACAATACCAAGTTTGTCATTAAAATCATGCAATAGTTCGGAATGTACTAAGTAAACCCAGGAATACAGCTTGAGTACCAGTGCAAGAACCAGACAAGACCAGTGCCGGGTTGGACAGCCGTCATGGTGGGCTCGCTTGTCATAGGTTCCGAGTCGCAGTACTGAGGGCTGCCTAGAGCAACATGAAATGGCCTCAAACATCTTATTAATCATTTATCCTTGTTTATCTAGACAAGCTTAGATTCAGTTATATTGTCCTTCATAGGTCGCACAGTTATGTGTACCTCCCTTAGTCCGTCACAATAAATAATAAGGCAGTGCATGATTATACGCGTGATATTTTTACTGTGCCTCTATGTAGCTACAGCAGCTCTCAGTAGTGCTAGTCTTTGAAAGTTTTTGATTGGTTGTACAATTTGCATCGAAGGTAAAACCACCAAAGAAAACGTAAATTATCGCCATAACAATAAATTTAGATATATTCAAAATACATCTTCAAAATATTGACAATACTATTTAAGTCGTATTAAGTTTTTGTCGTCATGGCTTATTCTACGTTAACTTTGAATCTAGAACATAAGTAAAATTGAACACAGTTGGAATGTTTCATTGCACAAATAGATCAATATGAGTCTTGGAATCGGAAAGGTCAACCGATTTCGATTCCTGGTTTGGCGTGTCTGTGCTATCCTTTGCTAGGCTACAGCTGTGTTAGTAAAATGAGACTCATGTTGATATACGGTGCAGCTGGGTGGTACAGGCTAGGAATCATAGCAAAAATAAATAAAACGGCTCTAGTGTTGCCTGGGATTTATCTTATTCGGTGGCCACTAGTAAATAAAGCACCAAAATAAATGTTCAACTTAAATTATAATCGATCGCACTAGATGCCTAAAATGTAAATAAACATAAGATACCATATATAGTTGTTTATGTATGAATGTAGGCTGCTAAGTGTGTACGTATAAGTATGAATGCAGAAATTATAAGTAGATGCATCAGTTTTGTGTCTAGAAGCAGATAATGTATTTTACAGTTCGTCCGAATAAACACAGTTGTATACAGTATTGTCGTCTATGTGTGCGCACGAAATGTCTTTCAAATTCGGCACAGTTCTAAATGTACATCATGCAGGAAAAGAGACTTCTGATGAAGAAAATAAATACATTAATAAATGAAAATTTAAAACTAATCTCATCTATTGTAAATTTTTCTTTCGTATTCAAGTTAGTTTCATGTCTGATAGTGAGTCGCAAGGTTAGTGAGTCCAACTGTTCCTTTACATCTCTATAACTACAGTAGAAACTAAGCTTAATAAAAAAGAAAATAAACGTTATCTCTTGACAAAAAGCTAGACGGGGTAGAGGAATTATATTAAAGAAAAGTAAAAAACGGAATATTAGCGATGAGGAGAGGATGTGGTGTGTGACGTCACAAACAACACACGAGATGGGTGGGGTAGATGATGTCACTTTCTGACCGTCACGTCCACCAGAAGTAACTCATCCATCCATTCCATGAGGACGCCCACTCGTCTACTTACACCGGGGAGAACCACCTGACTGTAGACTGACCCGCTGAGGGTACACTGGACCAGCTACAGAATAGTATATCGTAATGATATAATCTATGAGTGCTTGGTCTTTGGTCACCCGAGCAGAAAAACACATTCCAAAATTTCCCAATGTCCAAATGTAAATTACTTTTTTTCTTAGGTATTAGCGTTCTTGATGTTGCATATGAATTACCCAAGGAAACGACTACCCTGATCTGCAAAATTGAAAAATAAATTGAGATTTTGTTCACTTGGCTATTTGAAGTTGTTGAAGGTGATTGGGCTACTAGCGTCTTGAGCAACCAGGGTGACCAAAACTTTAAGTCTCACTTAGGTATTGGTCAGGAGCCTCGTGCTCGCCTTGATGTCGACATCCTATGGTCTAACTTGATCTGGAGTCTCATATTGCTACTATTTCTTATGCTTTTCTTGTAAGATAATAGTAGCAATATGCAATGCGCAGCACGAGGTAGGAAGACAGTCTGTAACGTCTGGGTTGGCCTTGTTCAGGGTTATGTACCTACCGTTTGGTACACCGTCTATGCTGTTCTCGTTGATGGTCAGTTATTTTCCTAGACTACAGTCAGACAAATTTGGTTTTGGTCAGTTCAATGGTATTAGACGTGTGAGTGTTAGGTTTAAAGAAATAAGTTACAGCCTGAAATGAAACATCATTTGTACCTCGTCCGCCATGGTGTCTTCTTCCTCTTCTGAACTGATTTTTGGGGGAGAAAATGAGAAGATTAGTATACAGTTTTATAGGTCTCCATCTACATTCGCCATCTCGTCGATTTTCTCTTTAAAACCTAAGGGAAAAAGCGGGATCCTTACATTGTCTCAGATCCCAGTGAAGTTTCCTTTACGTTTTCACCGAGTTCTCATAGTGGCCACCTCCTCTACATCTTCAAACTTGTAAAAAAATGTAATACGTATGTTTATGTGTGGATCGACAAAGAAATAACGGTGTAAAACCCTCAAGAAATTGGAAGTGTTCATGGAAAACTATCAGTGACTGCAGTGTTATGTCGCCTGGTTCCTGCTAAAAGCAAAATAACATAGAGTGTATATCTTGTCTACTGTCAGTGATGCCAGTGTCAGATTGTGCTAAGATACTGAAAAGAAGAATTTTGGTTAAGTGTTCTATTATTATATATATATATATATATATATATATATATATATATATATATATATATATATATATATATATATATATATATATAGTAAATATGTGTAATTCACATCTTCAGGGGTAGCACAGACTCACCCCTGAAGATGTGAATTACACGAAAGCGCACTTCGTGTTTTCTTCTTTTGTGGTTATATATATATATATATATATATATATATATATATTAAATTCCCTTGGGTATTAAAAAAATCACATCACTTAAATGTGTACGATTATACAAATAAATCATGATAATCTCCCGTCATGAAGAACTCAACTGCCCTTTAGTGTAAAATTGTCAATTTGACAATTATCAAAACTGTTAATAATTGTATCGATAAAAGACTAAACTACCCTTTGCAGGGTGACCAGATTTAGCATTTTGACAAATTCAACACTTTTTGGGATCTTTCATTTTATATAACATTTAGTCTTGCATTTCGTGATTCTTTTTGTTTTCATTTTTTTTTTACGAAATCGTAAGGAAATTGGCATTTAACTTTTGTGAGCATTTTCTTGATTCGGTTTCATAGCATACTGGATGTGGGAAGAAAGGAGAGCTGCGAGAATTTATGTAAAATCTCCACCTCTTTTTTTTTTAAATATAGCACTTTTTTTTCCGTGAATCACTTTTCCGTCGGGAAAATCTGGTTACCCTAACGCTGCGTGAAATCTGTTGTGATCTGTTATAGTTTGGTTTACTTTAATTTTTGTGACTCCCACGTACTTCTGTCTGTTGTTTCAGGTGCTCATGTTAAGATTACTTGCACTGTTTCTAAATACTAAAGTGTATAGTCTGTGTAATCTAATGTTTTCATATAGTTTCCTAACAGGTATCCTTAGCTGATTAGCCTTGTATACTACGCATCCAAATGTACGTTCTCTTGCTCAACTTTGGGAAGTGTGAGTATGTTGTGTGCGTATCTATCTTACCTGTACTCTTCCTCGTCAGACGACATGGTTGAGGAGTGTGGGGGGGTTTAGGAACTGGAAATCAAAGAAAGATGAGGAGCGTTAGTAAAAATCATTAAAAAAAAATAAAGCCCCTAGAAGTTAATATATAAACTTGGCAACAAATAAATAAAAAAAACAGAAGTAGATGTAACAACAAAATTAAATAAAATCTCGAATTTTTTTATTTAAAAAATAAAACTGACATTTATTGGAAAGCAACTGAATGAATGTTATAATTTCAAAATAATCTCGGCGTTCATAAGTAACACTCCAAATAATATGTAAGCTATTATTAATATCTAATGTTATGAATCAAACTTGTTGGAAACATTAAAAAATTAATTCGACGCCTTAAAATATTTATATTTTAGATTTTATTAACCGGATATATATATATATATATATATATATATATATATATATATATATATATATATATATATATATATATATATATATATATATATATATATATATATATATAAGGTGTTTTCATGCAGAAAATATAATTTAATACTTCAGGTACAAAATGGATAGAAAGGGAGCTGGACATTTTAGGGATTTCAAATTCTGAGACAGCGTCAAAGGTTCAAAAACAATCTAAAATTATTATTATCTTGTTCTTTGGGGAGTTTTTGTTTATATTAATCATGGGACTGTGCACCTTGATTTTATCAAAAATTTTATTCATTTACCAACTTTTCGTTTATTTCGCAATTAAGTTTATCTCGTTAAATAAAATTAAATAAAATGCACAACAAAAATGTGTAGGAAAAAACTCTGGTTTGAGTTAGAGGAGTGTTTCACCATGGACTGGTCTAGTGTCCCTCAACTCCGGCAAATTACAAACAGTCATCTTGGCCAGTCTATAGCGAAACATCTAACTTGAAAATATATCAGTCTGGAGACGCTATTTTGACTCGTATTGATATTTCCACTGGGTATTTTGTCTCCCATACCATAAATAAAGAATTAGCTGTTTACAAACGTACAAGAGTCAGAAGAACATCTCCAGGGGCCAATATAGGGTAGGCTAAAGAAGGGAAGTGGTGAAGTAACTGCACTTCATAAGGTTGAACAAAATGCTCTATATCACAAAGGATCAAAACCTTATTGAATAGAAACAATAATAACGATTATTTTTAGTTAACTCAAAGTAATATAATAATGAAATGTAAACCAAACATCTTAACAACAAACCGGAATGCCCAAAACTAAATCAAGGAGACTTGATTTAGTTGCAAGCCACTCCAAGGCCTTGTAGATGATGACGTCACCCACGACTGGCAAACTTGACATCAAATTCATATACTTGACTGTCATTAACAATCTTCATATCAAGGCTGTTTAATTATATTGTAATTGGTAGTACTGATTAATAAGACTTAAAATGAAATTAACAGCAGTGTGATTTGTAGCAAGAATTATTCATTCGAAATAATTATATTTCATTTGCCAGTTGAAGGTGATTTCTTTTGAGGAGTAAGGATGGGAGAGGGGGAGGTACCACCACTCCAAACTATGACGTCATCACCGCTGAGGCTACTTACTAGTCATGTTGAGGCTACAGTAGGCTAGCCTGGCCACGTTAGCGCTCACAGGGAATAAGAGAAAAATGTCACTTGAATTTTTTTTTAATGTCACACGATCAGTATTCAGAGGGTTTATATGGCTATAGGTAGAGTCACTTTTTTTTTCAATTTGTACTGATACTGTGAGGCTCTGAGTAACTAGGTAAGGGATACTAATATCAAAACTGGTCCTGTTGTTATATACAGAGACAGCAGTTGGTCACAGGAAGAACGGCGTCGTCTATACGATTGACCCACTTTACAGTAGAAACAAGTCGCAGTTGAAATGAGCATGGCACACGAGAGCAAATAACTATGATTTGAGAAACAACGCGTTTTGCCTCTATCACATAATATAATTTTTCTTCCGCGGGCAATGTTTGCTTTTGACTGCGACTTACTTCACTGGTCATCAAATCTACCAATCAGACGCTCTCCTTCCGACAGTGGATACTTATTGTCTTTGTACAGGGTATTACAAGAGACCAATTTATCTTGTGTCTAGCTTGGGAATTCTATAGGATGTTTATATCTACAACATATTTACGAAGTGGCAACTATGAGATTCAATGTTTATTCTCCAATACTGTATAAGTATTCTTTATCTACTAGGTTTACTAAAACATGAGTAAAATCGACAGAGGGGTTCAAAAATTGTTAAAATTAACCTACTTGAAAGCTTAGGAGGTTTGATCTACTGACATAGGAATGCTAAAATTTGTCAAAATAACTAAGAGTTTTCTGCTAAAGCCAGTTTTAGTTTTAAATTACTCTTAAGTTTAGTTAAGAAGCTTTTGGCTAAAGCAAAAAACTCAAAGTTCAAAATGCATCTACAACTATGTAACTCTCAGTATAATCTACTGTCAGTCATTTATATCAAGATTGTACTGTACATTGCATATCACTGCAAAATATTGACTACAAAAACAAACAAATATTCATCTATTGCATGAAAACTACTAGATAACAGGTAAAGAGAAACTAAGCTACATCTTGAAATACACTAATTCAAAAAAGCACACGTCTGAAACAGAAAGATATCAGGATAAATGCAGGTGTTGCAGAGTTGGAATAAGCTAAAGCAGTCACTTGTTTTCAGTATCGTCTTCATTTTCAGAGATGTATCTTACTAAGGTCATTTCGAGATGTTTTCAATCTGTAGGATCTTTCTGGCTTTAAACTTATTATTAAAGAACTTTTCATAAAATCACTTTTGTAATAAACAAATGACTGTCATGTCGTAAAAGGTTAAATATCCATAAAAATGTATCGGACAAATTGAAGTTTGAAGAGGAAGTGTTGGCACAGTCTTTGGGGTTTTCACGCATTAAATTATGTCATTAACACTTTATCATCATGTCGTACCAGCTTAAAAAGTCATAAAACCCAGTCAAATAAATGAATGTTTGAGAAGGAAGTGTTGGCAACGTGAGCATGTTGGCGCGCCAACACCCAACACTGCCACCCTGCCAGCCCATAAATGGCGTCTGATATCTGACACTTGCCAAACACGGCTCTAAAATACACAATATACTCTAAACCAAGCGAGATTCAATTATCGATCTTTCCATTTGCAGTTGTCTTGTAAATTAATTAAATGTAATTGGTCCTGTTTTGATTTGTTCTCCATAAATGGAAAATTGGCGAAGTTCATGTCCCAATACAGAGTTTTTGCGCAACGCTTAATGGGTAAAACATATCACATTTCATTATTGATACATTATACAAGATCTGGAGGAATTTATATAATAACTCCGTACTTATACATATTAAACACGGTAAGAATTTTAAATTATATTGTATGGACGATAACTGTGAGTGCGAACAAGTTACCAAATGTGACTAATACTACTAAGATCTTTAAGCATTATTTTTAAGTGTCAGTTTCTGGACTTGACAACAGATAAAGAATATCCCAACGATCGTTGTTGATATCATGCATATGTTTCTCTCGCAGTCAGGGTCCTTAAAAACTGATCGTTAAATTTGGGTTTCTATTACTGGGCAGTTTTGAAAATAGGGCCCCATACCATTGCCAGGCTGAGATTTTTCTCATTCCTGCATCGGTGTAAGACGTCTCCACCATCAGTCTTTTAACCCGCTGAATTCTTTTACTATTGCTGTTTACTTCCCGACACAAATGCCTTTGAAAAAATGTAGTTTGTAAATTATCAGTACCTTTATGACACTAAGTCGCTTCTCATGAGTATATACGAAGTGGAGTTAATGTCGACTAATTCTCAGATGAAGTAAAAAAAAAATGGAGCCCCCATTCCCAATTTACGTGCAATAAATCCCCCCTTGACTATGGATAAAAGAACACATCTGGTTAATGTGTCAGTACTTTTTTATTCCATTTCTACAGCCAAAACTGTGTCATAATGGAGGGGAACCAGCTGGATGCTTTCTTCAGTTAGGGAGAAAATTTAACGTACGAACCTATGAGAATCTACCATCATGAATGAGAAATTTGATATTTAAGACCAAGATGAGAGGAAAGGACGGTGAAAGGGGGGTGGAAGCTGGGAGGTGAGGGCTGGGGGAGGTTACTGGCGTGCCAAAAGTTCCGGCAACGCTCAGCCAACTTGGCTATTTCTGGGCCTGGCCGGCACAGAGAAGGGGGGGTGTGGAGTACCGATAGACTCCTTCTCCCCCCCACCCCTTCCCCTGTTAACTCCTTAAGAATAGAAGCCAACTCAGCAATCCCCACCTCGCCCCTCCCCTCCCACTCATTGCTGCCGTACCCAATATTTCCTAAAGGGGAAAATGTGGAAAATCGTCCAGCTTACTTGTCTAGGATCAATTTTCCTATGACTTCAGTTCTACTCAATTAAGATAGCGCCATTGAATTTAACCCATTCTCATAATTACCTTTTTGTTAGTCCAGGTATTGATAATAAACACTCTCGGCAGACTGGAAATCTATTGCTGTACAGTATTGCCGTACGTGACTGCACCCCCCTCCACCACTAGGCTATAATGTAGCTACAATAACCTTACTTTAGAGCGATGCAGAACTCATTTCAATCTTGCAATTACCAGTTATTAATATATATTGTTAACAGTGTTAAGTTTATGAACTTTAATTGTTGAAGGAGAAAAACACCTACAGCAAGACGATAAAATATATCTTCCTCGATAATCAATAATTGTTTCAATCATATCCTATTTAGTTACGTATACAAATGTAAAAGAACAACGCTCTTCATATTTACTCCTCTAATTTTTCTGGTGTCCTTAAAAACTGTTGTTGTTAAAACAAATACATTTAAACAAAAGTGGTTGGTGAACATGAGATTTCATAATCTGTAAGATTGTTGAAGCATATTAACCAACCTTGTGTTCTGAGCTAAAACACCTAAAATTGATGAGGCACGTTAATACATTATATCAACAATGATTAAGAGAAAGATGAATCTTCATTATCAGTTTTTTTCTAGTGTATACATTTACTAAGTGTACTGTACATACGTTAAGATCTGTCATTGATTCGGCAGGCGTGTACTGTATAAGAATAATAATGATAATCGATTCTTGAACGGCAATGAAAAACTTTAATGAATAAGTTTACGATAATGTCAATTATTTCGCTTTGATAAAATAGATCTCTAATAATTTACGTCGGCTATCAATTCTGTTCCTCAATTACTATAAGTATCTCCAATTACCATGTAATGGATACATTTTGTGAAATTTGCTTTAGTTTGGCATTTTTCCGTGAGCTATATTGGCGCGATGCTGACAAAGTATGTCAAGCTCACACTTGGCGCAGTTTCAAAGGTACTTAGGAATTCCTAACCCACATGGTAGTCTTGTACATTTTTTTTTCAGACGCAACCAAGAATTTGAATACGCGGACGAAATCGCAATATCGACTACATATATTTTGAAGAAAATCCCGCACCTATATTATAAAGCAGGGAATATTGCTTCAGGTAAATATCGTGTCATTAACACCCTGACAATTTTAAATTTTCCCACATATGCACCTCCAGGATTGCCAGTTTCTCAGATTTTTCCCGGTGATATACTGTACTCTATTTAGTTACTTAGTTCTCAGTATACAATGAAAGCCTTAAACCTTTTCATAACTCCCCGAATTCTTGAATTCTTATTCGTTACTTTCTACATTTTTTTTTTACAAAACTAATCTGAATTACTTTACCACTAAAGACCTAGAAACTAATTTCTCTCTCTAATATGCATTTGAAATTCATATTTTCATGAAACTGAGTTATTTATTATCTAAGAGCTTTGCCACCTCGCTTTTCCTGTTCAACGTTCCATCACTCCCATGTTCCTTCTTCCCCTCAACCAGGTCTGCTACAGCCGGCGGCGCACCTGGTCCCAAAATACCCCGGGGCAGCAGGCGTGGCTGGCAGCTTTCTCACCCGCTGGTAATTTTACTGCTGTGAGTAGTTGGGATTATATATTTGGCGACTCTTGCCAGGCTGGAGGACATTTGTTTACATTTGCTGAGGGTGCCGAGTGAGATCTTGCCACCAATCTTCATTTCGCGGATACCCTTACAATCGTGCCTTTATAATACAATATATTCATGTATTGTATGTCCTTTTGTTTAAGATCCATTAGCCTAACCATCATTTAAGTAACATATAATATTGTTGATAGTCAGGACTTGAGTTTTCTTTTTGCATTATAAATTCCATATTTCATCGTTCCTATTATGATTTTTGTTTTTTCACGGAAAAACAGATAACTTATAAGAATAATTATTCGATAATTTAAATTCGCAGTAAGCTTTGGTTTCTGAGGGTTAACACACCATGCTTTTTTCGGGTGGTAAACCAACAAATAAACCTTATTCATAGTATAGGTATACCGCTCTTGCTCACAAGAGAGGGTGCTGTCCTGGTGTTAGTGCACTACGAAACGTGCCCAGGCGTACCACCACGCTTTCGGTTAACAGGCAAAAGGTGTTCACTGATAGAATTCCCGTCACTTGTCTTCACAGGCACTTGCAATCACTGTTAACGGTGTTTATAACGATGTTGTGGAGGCATGTAGGACGCTACACACTCGGCACGGCTCCTGGTCACCACAGTCCACTTCACTGTCACACTCGTTGGCTTCCACGTTATCCTCTTGGCTTCCGACTTACCTAAAAAGATTGGGCTTGAGAGACGCGGGTGGCGTGTGCAGTCAATTCGCCCAAGGGACTGACTGTACCGGTCCAACAGCATACTCTTACGCCCTAGCTTCGCCCATGCGCTCATTGGTCCGCCAGGGTCACGTGATTCGGTGATCATACCGGGTTCTGATTGGCTGGGTGGCTTCACGTGACCCACCTTCACTTGCCCAAATAGGAGGGGGCCAGCGCTCCCCTCCGTCCCGGCCTACTGTTACCTCCACCCAACTCTCTCCCTTCCGCTCGTCCCTCACTATGTATAATATGCAGACATCACTGTTTGTTGTAGCAATTTGTTTATTGTTCATCTTCACTGCGAAGTCCATGACGGGCTTAAAGATTTAGTGAATCTTATGTCAATACAGGACACCCAGACACTGTTAACTCTATTCATGATCTACCGTATATCTCTGCTACTTATAACATTGTTTCAAATTTCAAGGAATTTAGTATCTGCATTGTTCTTTTTTTAGCATCCAAATTATATGGTGTGCATATAAATTCATGTTCAAATTATCTGGATTATTATTTCGAGAGTAGTCAATAATATTTTTTTTTTTCGGTCATAACTTCATCTGAGTGTGAGTGACCGACTTTATATGCAAGGAAATGCCAAAGAGATGGTGCATTTCGCTCTGGACGTCATACAGTGATGAACTTTGTGGAGATATTAATAATAACTTTTTGCGTGTCATAAAACTCTTATTTTTTGTGGTATTTTACACTTATTTTAAAATATACAGACAAATTTCTAATATAGTCTTGGTTTAGTGTATTGGTCAATGTTCCATATACTCTGTCTCTTTTAGATGATTTCATTCGACCATATAATAATCATACAAAACAATTTTGTTCAGATAAAAATGACAGAATCGTATATTCTCTCTCTCTCTCTCTCTCTCTCTCCTGATGTTGAGTTAAGAGTTGTAAATACTCGTACAGCTGCGGCTATTGAGAACTAGTACTACTGTATAGTATTGTGGCCTTACATGGTGTCTCTCTCGTGGCTGTTGAACATTTATTGATAGGTGAAGTTCAAACCATATCATCATATTCTATTACCCAGAAGCTGCGTGCAATGTTATCCCAGAAAAGTCCCAAAAATCAAGAGCTGAGGAATCTCAAAAAATTTTACATTAATTTTCCCACTAAAGAACACGGGGCCTCATTTTCTTGGCTCGCTTCAGCTCCGATGTAAAGATGGTGGTTCAATGGACGTTCATAATTGTATTGATAATCCACCATAATTAGTGTTATTTTATACCCATTTTAGGATGATCGTAAAATAAAAATGTTGATGTTGTGAATATTTGAGGTACTGTATTTAATTGATAGTTTTTATTTTGTTTTGTTTTTCAAGTCTTGGGAGCATAAACTTTTGTTCCTTCGTCACTGTTGCTAAAAGATGTAGAGATGCATTAACATAGATAACTGAATGAAGAAGATTATTTGGTTTTGCGTCTGGTTGTGGTTTCTGCCCTTGACTATTGGCGACACCCTTATCTCACTTGACCGATAGCAGCAATCCCCATCTCTCTCTCTCTCTCTCTCTCTCTCTCTCTCTCTCTCTCTCTCTCTCTCTCTCTCTCTCTCCATGACAACAGTCCTCATCTCTCTGTAGACTCGTAGTGTTAACCTCCATTTCTACCTAGAATAGCACCAATTGTCATCTTGTTACCAAAATCCTTCACTTGTAATATATTTCTCTTCAACCCAAATGTCTGCATATCAAAAAAGATCTTAATTGACAAAGAGAGCATTTGGTCCTTAAAAGAAGTAGTTGTTTAATATAGAGACTGATATATATAGGGAACGGCAGTTGAAAGACCTAAATACATCACAACAATGAAAATTCATCCCTTGTAATAAACGTTTTCATATAACAGACTTTGTTATTCGTTCTTCCTCCTTTAATTCCTATGTTTTCAACATCTACAATTTCAAGAACACTCATGTTATCCCTGCTAATTACTATCGCATTTTTTTAAGTATAAGAATCTCCCCTAAGCCGTAAACCAAATCACACTACTGCACTCGGGCGAAGTGCCAACTGAGGCTATAGGTGCTGACTTTAAAACCTGTGTGGCCTTCCCTTGAGACTTGGAAAACATTCTAGTTCCAGGGATTGTCTGTGTGAATATGTATACCAGATTTGACCATTTTAGCATTTCCGGTTTGACCTTAACCTTGGATCTGTTGTTTATGACGGCCAAGTATGCCTATTGTTACATAGTTTCTTCCGTCATCGCGTTATGCCGTGAAAAATCCGTAAATAGTTAAAGCCGATAATGACTCCCCGAGCACCCTACTCGTGCGACTCCATCTGTGTGATTTAACCTCCCCAGGTACAATGAACGTACCACCTGTTATTAGTAGTCGTAAAAGTAGTATTAGTATTGCCAGGTGAACAGATGTATATTTAATAAACGGTGTTAAAAGATTCTATCCTCTGAAGCACTTAATAAACTAAACACCTCCTCCTCCGAGCTGTCAACCTGAAACACTGCAGGGGATTTTGTCAGTGTTCATATCTTACCAAACCTCTTATGTTATTGGTTATCCTTCATTCCTCCCTTTTCCTGTTATTCGTGTTCTAAACTTTATGATGGAGTAAACATATGATAAAATAAGTTGTTTATCACATGAATTTTATTGAATTACTATCAATTTCTCTTGATAGTAATTATGAGTATCAGCCAATCAGAGTCCTTCTTGTCTATTGTGATTTTCCCATTAAGTAATTGCTAAGATATCTGTATGTTCATCATCCTGTGTAATATGTTGTTATTACGTCACGAATAATTAGTTATAACGTATAAATCAGTATCGTAATGTAGCATAATGTACTGCACGTGTTGTTGCTTCACAGTGCATCAAAATGTGTCTTTGTGTTAATGCTGTCTCACGGGATCGATAAAAATGTCGGTAATTTTAACTATATCAGTATTGGGTTGATAGTTTGTTTTCGCTCTGTCGGTGGATTAATAATTATTTTTTATTTGTATTCTGTCTTATAAGATTATTAATCATCTTGGTGTTGTGGGTCGCTCATAAATCTCATCATTAGCTTCTACAGAGTTACATAATGTGGATTTACCCAGTCTGGTGGCTACTGTACTGTGCTGTACTAGTTTGGCCAGACAGTCGAGAACTTCTGAGGATCGGGCTCAAGGGCATAGAATGATGTCTTCAGAACCTGTGTTTGGCAAAAAAAAAAAAAAACCTAACATTTCCTATCGAAGTGTCTCCTCCATCATAGCCTTTTCCTCTAATTAAAAATTTTCCACCAATATTTTCTAGTCCACATTTATTACAACACCTATCCTTTTTTCCACCCCATAAGCATCACTGTCTTTTTCCCTCATTTATTTCCCTTACACCAAAAATTATCCACCAGATTCCTTTTTTTTTCATAGTTATTTTCAGTACATCATTTCCACCCCACAGTCACCACCAGTCTACCTTCCATCCCCCTCTCATCTTTTCCTTCAACTTTATTACCCTGAACCTGACGTCTTCCTACACACACACGCACTGGGGACCCTACCAACATGTCAGTCATAGCCAATACGTGTACCTCTCCTTACAGCCACCGCCCACACTCCCGCCCACACACACACACTCTATATATGTCTCAGACCACACACCCTATCTGTGTATCCCTACTACCCCTCTACTCAACCCCTACTTGTTTATATGACCACAGCTCCTCTACTTACCCATCCCTATGTGTGCCACGCCCCTCCACCTATACATCACATCTCTAATTGTGTATATGTGACCACGTTCCCTTCACCTACACATCTCTAATTATGTATATGTGACCACGCCCCTACCATTTACACACTGTTAACGACTCATTTCGACCATCATACACCCTCACTTACACATTCCCAAGTTTTGCTCTCAGGTCAAGTCGCTAACACCCCCCTCCGGCTTCCACCTCCCACTGATCTCCTCCCTCCTTCATACCTACCCTGATCTTCCTCTTCCTCATGCATGTCTTTCCTTCGTTTCCAGGCATAATACTCCCTTTCCTTATCCATCTCGGGCAATATTCATCCTGTTCCACCCTGTGCTCATGATTTTTTGAAATTTGTAATCCCCTCACTAATTCAGATTATCCACAGTAAACATCAGATTAATATGTTCTTTAATTCATAATGCATATAAATCGCGTACCTCCCACCCACCCACCCCTCTCCCCTTCCCTGCCTGAGTTCCACCCAGTGCCCCACCCACACTAAAAACTCCTCTTCCTCAGCTAAACAAGGTCACCAGTCTTTCATAAATAGTCGTCACCTCACACACACACAACAGCCCCATCCCCCCCACACACACACACACACACGCCTCCCACACGTACCACAAGAGCCTCCAGGAAACATTTCATGCTAACTTCACACCTCGCTGTACCCCCTCGCACTTCTTCACATCTCGCACCTTTTCGAGCCTCTTCACACCTCCCTGCGTTTCTTGACACCTCCCCGCACCTCTTCACACCTCCCCACACCTCTTCACACCTCCCCGCATCTACTTAGCCTCCCCACACTTCTTCATACCTCCCCGCACCTCTTCACGCCTCCCTGCACTTTTTTACACCTCCCCGTACCTCCTCACACCTCCCCGCACCTCCTCACACCCCCCACGTACCCCTTGCCAGAGGGGCAGCAGAAGGGGTGCACGCTGCCTCGAGTGGTCTATTTTCTGCCCTATACGGAAGTGGTAGGCTCACCCCAGCCTTGACACCCCAGCCCGGGGAATCCCAGGGGGTGTACCTAGATTCCACAGCCCCAGAGAAACCCCAGGAGGTCTACCTTGGCTTCACCTCAGATAAATAAAAAATCAGCCAAGGCTCCTCAACCCCAGAGAATCCCAAGGTATCAACGTAGGTTCCTCAACCCAGAGAATCACAGGGATTAACCTAGGGGTCCTAACTCCAGAGAATGCCAAGGATTAACATAGATTTAATAAAGAGCATTTGAATTCTTAGGGCTAGGAACCTCTGGGACAGTAGTTATAGAGTCCTGGGATCTCTAGGCGTGGGGAGCTTGGGGAAAACCTTTGATATAG